CATTCACACTGTTGGAAGAGTTGGGAATCAATGGCCTGAGCTAGTGGTGTTGATGTACATGCAGCTGAGCAGATGCACTCACCTGGGCTTTTTCTAAGCATCGGTGCTTGCTTCCAAGGCAAGTCTCTGCATGCACAGGAAAAGATGGAGCATTTGATGTCAACCTTCTCTCCCCGCCTCTGTGATGCAATTCTTTGCAAACAAAAATAGCAGTCCTGCTGAGCTATGCATGTGGTCATTGCTCAGGGTCCCACAGTTTGCCTCCAGATCTTTGCAGCCCCACTAAATATTTGAAAAAGGACAATCCATTTTGCTGTTGATTTATACTAAATCCTTTGCCGCTTTTGCCATGGCCCTTAAAAGTGAACCTAGATAAAGGCATTACTTGTGGAGGATTCCACAAAAGGGAAGAGCAGGCCCTTGTGAAATCAAGGGGAATGTTCATGGACTTAGGCTGACAGCACAGCAGAGCGTTTCCTCCTTCTGGAGGAACAAGCACAGACCAGGCTGCAGATTTTTCTGATGGTAAAAATAAATTCAGCCACTTCATTCAGGGGCAGGTCCCCCTGAAGATTCCAGATGAAGATGAAGTTAACATTAACCATTCCTTGCAGATATATACACACAGAGACCATGATATTGCAAGAACTTGCATTGGCTTTCCAAGTTCCAGAACCTTTTCTTCATAAGTTATAAAATGTGTTTTGACAACTATTCACCGAAAACAAGGTTACAATAGTTGCACAGACACTGTGACTCCAAGCACATTCTTAGATTTTGGATTCTTCTCAAGGAAGTAGCATTCACAGAACAGAAGTCAGCTGCAGTTTCATGTCTAGCAAAGGTTGCATCCACAGTACATCACCTTAAGGTGTAAGGACTGGCTGATTATTAAAAAATACCAGCAGCAACATCCATCTTCTTGAGCTTGTATAACCCGGCCTAGATTGTTGCTTTAAGATATTCTTTTAAGAAGAATATAAGGAAGGTTAGCTCCACTCTGTCTTTCAAATAAAATGGCTCTGACCTCACTTTTTGGGCTGTTTTTGCATATTGGGGTAATTAGTCATCTCAAGGCCTTGCACTATCCTAATGTAGCAACCTCATGCAACCAGCAATCATCACCAGTCTTAGACCCCACCTGCATTTAAATCAGTATCATTCCACTTTAAACAGCCATGGCTTTCCCCAAAGAATTCTGGGAACTGTGTTTCGTTAAGGGTGCCGAGGGTTGTTCGAAGACCCTTATTCTCCTCAGAGAGCTACAGTTCGCAGAGTTTCACAGGATAATGGATTGACTGTAATACCTCTCTGAATATTGTAGCTCTGTTGAGGTAATAGGAGTCTCCTAACAATGCTCACACCCTTCACAAACCACAGTTGCAATATAAAAACACAAAATACATACCATAATAACAAACAATAACAATAACCCCCCCCCACAATATTTTTTTTTAATGGTATGATATTGCTATAAATATATAGGGCAGATGGGATTTTTTTTGTCATTACTCTGAGTTCAGTGATGAGAGTTTATTTCTGGGGCCTTCCTAACCACTGATGACAACTCACTGTTGCATGATAGTTATTACCATTATACTAGAGATGCTGATATAGTGTCGCATAATTTTTATAAATCACTACCCTGGGCTCCTTTGGGAAGAAGGGTGCGATATATATTTAATAAATGCAGATGAGGCGACACTAATTTCACTGTTTTCTTCCTTCTGCCTGCCAGGGGATGCACTAGTATTTAAAAGCCAAATCTAGTGTATGGTGTATCCCAGTAAGCAGGAGAGATTGATGGCGAAGATAGAGCCAAAGGAGGAAGGGACAGAGGGCAAGTTGAGGACTGAGCTTTGTGGGATGGAGGTCCTAAGTTAATGCTCAGCCCTTTCCTTTTCCTTGTATGCCTTGAAAAGTCACAGAAATTTGCTATTTGTACAGTTGCTTGCCTCCATGATAGGAAACCAAGCCCTTGAAGGAGGCCAAATGATCTTGGGTGAATGTCTGCATGAGACCTGGATATGAGTTATATTTTACATGTATTTTACCATTGTGATCTGTGACCACATGGAATGTGGTTCTTTGTACTGCGCATTGTTTTAAAAATATTGTTTTGATCCGCACACCCAAGTCACATGCAAAGGATGAAATGAAGACCGAACCTACTGAGTTTGCCAAAGGCTGCATGTGGGCCTACAGTTTGACGCAGCATCTAGTTGTTTAAAGTTCTGATGCTGTCTTGTATCAGATGGGCAAGGTCACTGTTGCATGTCACTCACTGCCTCGGATGTTTCACTGTGAGTTCCAAGGAATGCAAAGACCCATCCTGGGTCAGAGTTGCGCATCACTTGAGGAAACGTGTCTGTGTTTAGTTGCCTGTGCTGGTCCACAACAAAGTCTTCAGAGGGAGAGCCGTTCAGTATCAGATGTGCTCCTCTCTGTACTCCAGACATGGCAGATGATGGTAGGTACAACCAGACATAATATGGTATTGCAAAGTTTCCTGAACTGTAAGAAACCTTCATCAAGCCAATAAGGAAGAAGTGACCAGGTCCAGTGTGTGAAAGAGCTGTTTCACTGATGGAGCTTTGCATGTTCACTGAATGGACAATGCTGCCTGCTGCAGCCAGCACTATGCAAACGTGAGACACCTTGAGTGGTTGTGGGTTTTTTTTTAATGTGTGATATGTAATGTAGATCTAAGCAAACCAGCCTTGAACCTGGAAACCAAAGCTCCTGGTAATGCAGATTCTCCTATATCTGTCTTCCTTTGGGAAAACAGTGGGGATTCTTTTTACTGCTTGCATGATTAACCACTGAAACAGTCTGCATCCAGGATACAATAGCCACAGTCCTTCCCTTCTGAGCAAAAGGCATTTCCAGCTGAGATAGAGTTACTTGCCAGTGCTTAGAGCAACCAGAAGTTGTACCAGTGCAGCAGCTTTTTCTGCCCTTCCCTTTCCAAAACCAGGAATGATACAAAGAACACTTTCTGCTCTTGTGATACCTCTGCATGCTGCTGTGCCCTTTCTGCTTTGGGATGAATGGACAAGCTGCTGCTGCAATTAATTCCAGCTTGGTTGTTATGTGACTTGTTTCCTAATGTTGGCCAAACGAAATGACCCACTCTGATTCAGGGCCTGGACCTTGGCAATAAGCCTGGCTGGCACACACCACTCCTGGTTAGAGTTTTCTGCCATTGGCCCTTAGTGTCCCTTGATGACATTTAGAACCCACCACACATGTCAATGTGCAGGCTGCACTTTTGGATCATTCAGACTTCGGCCTTCATGCTCATTCTTCCCGCTGCCTTTATATTCCCACCACCTGCCGTCTCACCTACACGTTTAAAATCAGAAGTGGTTTGACAACACCAGAGGTGGTAAACTTGTGGTCTTGCCGATGTTATTGGACTCCCATCAGCCCCAGCCAACATGGCCAGTGGTCAGAGTCATGGGAGTCGTAGTTCATCAGAGGTGCCCCATACCTGTTATAGTCAAATGCATGTGATGAAACTCGGGCAACACCTAGGAATAGTGATTTGTAGCAGAGTTGTGGTGTGGTGTGGTGTGTGTATAAATATTCTTACTCTGCAGATGCACATTTATCCTTTGCAAAATGTGTATCTGGAGCTCTGGAGAGGGGGTGGGTAAGTCGCTTTGGGATGAACTGAGGCAGGACAGTAAGAGGCCAAGGAAGAGGTTTTTTAATACTTACCTAACAAATTTATACGCTGCTCATCCATGTAAATAATAACAATTCCAGGGCAGGCTACAGGAACCAGGCTTAAAAACAACAACAAAACCAACAGATGGAATATAAACACCAGAATAAAAGTAGGAGTTAGGCTTCCCTCCTGCAATTTCTCCACTACACATTGCCCCATCTCGACACTCCACAGCAACCAAGATGTAGACCTGCGAAGTTTCATTATATGCATTTGCACATAACACGTAGTTGGACCCTAAAATACTGCACCTGCTGCAAACACAGGAATAATTGGGGGAGAGAAAGGAGATGGCTGGGAGCTCTTGGCTGAGGGGCTCTACGTTTTGGATGAACTGCTGAAACTGTTTACGGGGATGTCTTGGGTTTTTCCTCTTTCCCCTTCCACTTTGGTTCCTTACTGTTTGTATCTGTATCCTTTGTCTGCCCGGTTTCCCCTTCCAACTCTCCCAGTTCCTTTTCCTCTTTTGAATGTGGGACAACGCTATCTTACTCTCTGATTCTTTGCAGATGGACGTAGTTTACACATTCCAGACCGGCGCCTCCTCTTTACAGGGAGCCCTCAGGAGACAGCCTTCCATCGTGAGCCAACACCACGATGTAAAAAATGTTTCTAGCCCAACCCATGTAGCTCTTTCCTCCGTCAATTCCACTCCCACCACTTCTGCTGCTGCTGCTGCTGTTGCTGCTGCATCTCCTCCTGCGGGCAGTGAGTGATAGTCTATTCAATGCATGACTTCCTAATAACCACCAAAGGGCACTCGCACAGACCTAACCAAACCTGTTCTCTTTCCCTTTTCTTTTAACCCATAACTTGATTCATGGTTTCTTGTCTTGAGAATTGGGAGGAAGTGCGGGAAAAAGCCATTCTGTTTATATATTATATACAACTTTTTTTAAGCTCTTGCATCTTTTAACTTTTAGTTCTTTCTGGTTCTTTTTTCTGTTTGTTTGTTTTTATCTCCTACTCTATTGCAACTTTTTGTCTTTCTCCTCCTTGCAGGACTGAATTATGACTCCCATATTTGGGTACCCAGAAAGTTTGATGCTCTTATTAGGGGGACAGCAGAGGGGAGGGGTAATTTCGTTATCAGCCATAGCTAAATATAGAGATGGGCAAATGTCTCTGTCTTGCTTTCAACAGGAAGTGTTCCTGCTGATATTATGTTTCTCCTACTCTAATCATAATTTCATAGAATTCATAGAATTGTAGAGTTGGAAGGGACCATGAGGGTCATCTAGTCCAATGCCCTGCAATGCAGGAACCTTTCACTCAACTTAGGGCTTGAAGCCATGACCCTGAAATGAAGAGTCTCATGCTCTATCAACTGAACTATTCAGGGATTAATTGAAAGCAGCATTTGCCCTTGAAGGGTTCTGGAAGGCTTAGGCTACAATCTTGTGCACCTTTACTTGGTAATAAGCCTTATTGCACTCAATGGAAATTACTGTGAAATAAACATGCTTCAGATTAGGCAGTTAGCACCTGACTCTTATTCAGATCAGGAGAAGGTCTCAGGTAGCAGGCTTAGCACCATCAGTTTCAAGATTTTGTTTGGTTCTGTATCAAGGCTAATATTATCAGGTAGGACTGATAAAGTCTGCTGGTGCTGTTGAGTCCTTAGGCACTTCCGAGAATGATAGATCAGCCCTCCTCTTCTATGCAAACATCTCATTCCTTTTCTTAAAAAAAATAGGGGTGCAAATATAATATGTTCTGTCACCATACAGATGAAGCATAGCATAGATGCTCTTGATTTGGAGGACTCTCTTGTAGTCAACACTGAGCTATTATTAGAGGTGGGATCTCAGTCATCTAAAACCGGGAGCTTGTATTAGCACTCTGTAGCATGTCATGTAATCTGTGTGAAATCCACAGCCTTTTAGTTTATGTCAGTGTGCTGCTGGTTCACAGAGACTTCTGTGGGTCTTCTGTTTTAGTTAGACTTCCAAGCCAGACTTAAGTCCTTTATTGAAGCTAAACTTTGTGTTCTGCTTCTACATTGGAATAGACTTTGCCTGTGTGCACAAAAGTGAGTGGCTTAGTTGTTCAGAAATTGGATTTCTACAAATGCAGGCATTGGTCCAGTTCACATATTGCAGCAACCCATAAATGATTTCCTATGAATGGACCTTTCTGGGCATGAACCCTATCTTAGCATTATGTCCAAACCAGGGATTATGGTTTGCTACAAAATATATATATAGTTGATCCAAGAACAAATGGTCTCCCATGGTTTGTTGGGAGTGAAAGAAACCACAATTCCTAGTTCAAATGTAGCTCTTAAACCCAGGGATCATGGCTTTTTTTTCTCCAAGTGAAAGCAAGGAGGAGCAAAGTGACCCAGATTGGTGTGTTTATGGTAAACCAATAACGAGGTGTGTCAAAGAGCGCATTAACTTTTCCTGCGCAAAGAAATGGCAGGTGTGAAAAGATGGTATACAAAATAATATTTACATAAAACAGTAGTTACTAATTTTTCCTCATTTATCTGGGGAAGTCATTTATGTGCTTTCCTGTACTATAAATAATATACATATATTGTCCAGAAAGGTTATTTTAAAACACACACACACACACACACACACACACACACACACGTCTATGCTTCCAGAGTAGCCTTCCCCAATCTGCTGTTCTCCAAATGTTTTGAACTACAACTCCCATCACACCTGACTGTTGGCCATGCTACCTGAGGCTGATGGGAGCCAGAGGCCCAAACAAAAGTCTGGAGGGCACCAGGTTGGGGATAGCTGATTTAGAATAATACATTTTTTTGTTTTCCCATGTTAAGAGGTGCTGTCCAATATTTATTACTCTCCAGCATTTATTTATTTATTTGCTTGCTTTAATCTCCTTTCTTTTTGACCAATGTTTCAAGGAGGAGAATTTTCCTAATCATTTACATTTTGCACGTAGCCAGCATTGACATTTTTATTTTTATGCATACACCAGAGTTTCTGAAGAAGTGCAGCTGTTGCCATTTACTTATCTATATGTGCATCCATGTAATAGTTTATTAAAAAGAATATGCTCAGGTTATATGCATCACATTCAACAAAAGAAGCTGCCAACAGTGGCAGTGTGCCAACAGTACACAAAATAGTACTTCTTAATTTTTATCTGATTGAAGAGGGCTTGATAGGAAAAAGAAAACGTATCATCTGCGTGGATAGCATGGTTTCTTGTTCTATAACAACTGCATCAAAAACTATCCTTTTCCTTTTTGGACTACCTATGCAGTTTCCTACTTGATTTCTGCTACTCTTTAAAGCTACATCTCTCTCTCTCTCTCTCTCCTTCTTTCTCTTAATACCTGGTGGAAAGTTCTACAGTGTTTAAAGTCACCAGTCCCAAAATGCTGTGTTCATGAAGGCTGATTGGTTTAGAAAAGGAAGAGCTCATGAGTACATGGAAAGGGGTGGGTGGTGTGTCCATATCTCTATGGTTTGCTTATTGTAGACCATGTGAAAGGATTCCCGGTTCATTTCAAGAAAGATGAGGTAAGATTCGAAAGGAGCTATGGCTTGCCAAGTGCTCAGAAGGTAGCTAAAGAACATATGTCCTATTTCCTTCCACTCGGAAGAAAGAGGGAAATGCTCCTGTTTTCACCCTGTTTGTTAATAACCCAGCCCTGAGCAGACAGCTGCAGAACTGAATCAATTAGCATAGATCACACTAATTGATTGTTCTCTTGGTGATGGATCTGATTATTACATGTGTTACAAAATACAAAACTTCTTTTCAGGAAGCTTTGCCGCTAGCCTTTTTTAGTGCTTTTCCCCCCTGGGGTTACGCATACCCCTAAACATTTTGTGAATCTAAGTTTGGCCTCATCGAGGGGCAGTATTTCAATATGAGTAGGAAAATGAGAGTACCCCTAAACATTTTTTTAGGGGGAAAAGGCACAGGCCTTTTTAGAGGTTCATTTTAGGGCCAAAAGGCAGGAAATAAATTGATACATTTTCTGCCTGTGCTTCATCCGTAACATGCACACCTTTGGCATAGGTGAAGTAAAGTACTTTACCCTCTGACATGTACTAGGCCAGTGGTAAAAGATGCAGAATACTTTATTTTAAATATGGAACCCATGGAGGGAGGGATGGAGGTCTGAAGGTTTGTAAGAACCTTTTATTTTAATGTTTGAAATGGTTAAAGTTAAAATGTAGAAAACTATGTAAAACAACAACAACAACAAAATTAAATTAAAAACGTACTAGGCCAGTATCCCAGATTTTTCCATATCAGTTAGTCTACCTACATGAACTGACTGGGCAGCCTAATGAAGCTGTGTGAGGATATTTGGTGTGTGTGTTTTTTAAAATAAAAATAAAAATTGAAAGGCAGTCTGAAGTGAAAACCCTTGTCCTTGAGGAACTTTTCCTTTCTACTATTATAGAACTACTCAAGCAGGTGGACTCAAATAGACAGCATGTAAAGCCAAACAAATAAAGAGGTCCCAGTGGCTGTGGATCCTAAATTTATATAAGTTACTGTAATGTTGGCTAAAGTCAGGGCTTTTTTTCAGCCGTAACTCAGTTCCGGCACCTCTCAGGTGGGCACCATTGCCATTATAAGAGAACAAGGGAGGCGTTCATGATGAGTTCCAGCACCTCTTTTTCTAGAGAAATAGCACTGGCTAAAGTTAACTTTATGATGATTCATTCAAGTTCCTGGATAGAAATGGTTTGTTTGTTTTTCAACCACTTCTAAAAAGTCATTGTGTCCTCCACCACCCCATAATATTAAAAAGAAGAGGAGCCTGCATGCAAAATGCATGGGAGTGTTGAGATGAGGTCTTGGTTACAATAACCTATTCTCAAAGAGTAACAGAAGTGCAACTGAAACTACAGGAACCAACAGCTTCAACATTCCTGGTTCTGAGTGATCTAATAACTAAAGCCACCATTGACTTTAATTATTCTGGTACTATTGATCAAGCTCTGTGTCCTTTTGCTTGTAGTAGTTTAGGTCCCCCGTCCCCCCTTTAACCATCAAGAGAGTTAGAGGAGTACTGTTTTTAAGTTTGGCTTCAGCTGCTTGATCCTTGCCGTGAGCATGAACATACAAAGAGTCTCCTGGATCAGGCCAGTGGCCCGTCTAGTCCAACATCCTGTTTTCACAGTGGCCAACCAGATGCCTGTGGGAAGCCTGCAAGCTGGACACGAGCGCAACAGCTCTCTGCCCACCTGCAGTTTCCAGCAACTGGTATTCCGAGGCATCATGCCTCTGACAGAAGATGTGGAACATAGCCATCAATGGCCTTGCCCTGCATGAATGCTCTCTCACCCATCCAAGTTGGTGGCCATCACTGCTTCCTGTTGGAGCAAGTTCCATAGTTCAACTCTGCACAGCGCAAGGAAGTGCTTTCTTTTATCTGCCTTCAATCTTCCAACATTCAGCTTCAACAAATGTTCATGAGTTAGGAAGATAGTCTTCTCCACTATGGTGAGATGTACTATCTTTCTTTTTACATGTCAGGATTTTGTTATATATTTATAGCTCTTTGCCCATGAAACTGACCCAGGTCTGCTTCAGGTGGCAGAGGAGGATAAAAGGTGAGTGTTCCCATAATGAGCAAAGCCAATTCAAGGAGAAGAGGAGCCAAATGCGGCTGATCTCTCAGCTGAACCAGTGGAGTGGCCCTGCTAACCTTCTGTTCCTCCCTCTTCTACAAACTGATATATAATGGCTACTGCCAGGTGATGGTGGGCCTGCCTCCTTTTTCTCCCCCCTTAGTAGCAGAATGGAATGGCTGCTTCAGGTGACCAAAGAACAAAGTCATCTTACTTTTTAATAGTGTGGTGATGATTATGAGCCATGACAGCAGAATATGTCTCTGGTTGTGTGATCTTGAGAACAGCCAACAGGTGATGGTTGGCACAGACTATGCCATGCTGCTCCAGCGGAGACTGAATGCTGGATCAGGACTGATTCTATGAGGCAGTTCTTAAAATCAGTTTATACTCAGAGTAGCAATCCTGAGGCCGTGACCTTACAAGCGTCATTCAGTGGACAGTCTGTCCTTGCTGGCCATTTATTTCCTACAGGGGTTTATGTGCTCACTTTGCACAACAGATAGCATGATTCAGAGTTACTTGTTGCAAAGTTACTGTGACATTTTGTTGTGATATGCAAAACATTCAGCTGCAACATAGCACAGAGAACCATTCTGGCAAGATGCAGAACTTTGCAAGGAATACAAAATGAAGTTGGCAGCATGAGCAAACACGAGCGGAGTCAACTTGAGTTTCTTTTAGTTCAGAAATAATGGTAGGGAAACCTGACCCTGGCTGAATAAGGAGGCCAGTCTGAGGAATCTTAACATTCCTCTACCTGCATAGAACATCTCTAGTATTTGAACTCAGTGCAGACCAAACTGCTTTTGATTTTGTCAGGAGTCATTCAGTTCATTAAAATAAAAAAAAGGTTGGAGTATCACCTTCCATTTGTTGGCAGCAACAAAATTAATGAAGTTCAACAAATGCCTCTTCCAGTGTTCAAAGTAATATGTGAGGGGTCAAACTGGATGAGGGTGCACAGAACCCAGACCACTCCCAACACCTCTGTGTACCAGCCCTGCCCTCTCCTCTCCTTTGCGTAGTTAGTGCAGGGGTTGAGCGGAATGCAGTTAGACTTCTCCCCATGACTGGGCATCCTGTACAGTGGGAGTTCCTTATCAGAGAGAGGATTTCCACTGCATTCAGCTCAACTCTGTTAGAATTGCCCTTTAGATCTTTGGCACCAAACATGAGATCGAGAGAAGGTGGTGTGAGGGGCGCATGCACACCTATTTAAAACGCCTAAAGAGGGGCTAGCATCTTGAGACGAACCGGGACATAGGAAACAACTTGGTTCAAAGGTGCTATGTAGCTAGGCTCAGGGCAGCATATTTACCAGCCTTATCTTGTGTGCTGGCCCCTCCTTCCCCTCAGCAAAGTGCAGATGACAAAGCATCATATGGGAGGACGGTGTTGAAAACTCCTGCAAATGCCTTTCCCACCACAGCTATATCTCAGTTGGGTATTTCATTTAGCAGAGGTCCAGAAGTTCTACCTGTTGTACCTCCGTTAGAACCTGCCCCTTCCTGACACCAGTTAGGAGAGGAGAAGCAACAAGCAGTATTTCAGTACACAAAGCATTCAGGTATGCATAGCTCCAACCACAGTTCAAGTTGCATTACCTCCTGTTGTACAGACCTCTCACACATGTAAGATGTATTAATTCAGTGGTCTACTACAAATGTTTGAGAACACTCTACAAAGCTCCCCCCCCCCCCCCGCCTTCATAGTGTAAAAACTTCCTTTATTTAGAAATCCGATGGTGAGAACCGGAAGCATAACCTACATGTTAATAGCAGATAAAGGTTGCTTCCATTGCATTCAAAGTTACAAACAACTGTATTTAAAAGAGGGAGTGGGGATTCCTCCCCCGGTTGATAAATAGGTAGTTATTTGGACCTGTTATTAATTAGAATGTTTTTTTTTAAGGTACTAATTGTGAGCCATCTCTGCATAAAATACAAATTACATTGTGATATATTATACTGTTGGGATGCATTTTATGCATTATGCTTTGCGGAAAGTAATATACTTATTCATATTTCATACCTATATGATTAGACTGGGGAACAGCAAGTTCTGATCATCACACTTCCATGTTTGTGTTGGTTTGTCTGGGTAAGCGTGACTTTCACAAAAATATGCTTCATCCTGTAAAGGGAAGATGTCTCCACTCCATTGTTCTGGAAATGTGATTTGCACTTTACTCATGTGACCGAGCAAACTGTGATTGAAATGGGAATTGGAGGGATAGGAATGCTCTGAGTTTGAGTCTGAGATTTTCTAAGCAGCCAAAGGAAATTAGCATTGATGTTTCGCTACCAAATGTGCTTAGAGCTACAGACATTGCTGTTAAAGAGCCATCTGTGTAGAAGCCTAGTTTCTTAGCTATGTTTGGGAGTTGAAAGCTCAGTTTTTCTTTCTTACCAAGACTCTCTGCACCAGAAAAGTGAGCTGGAGGAGAGATAGTCTAGTCTGTGATCAGCCAAAATTGTCCATATGGCTACACGCTGAATGTCCTTTCCTTGGGCTTTTTTTTTGTGGGGGGGTTTCCACAAGCCAAGAACACTGAACCGGCTCCTGTACTGAGCAGCTGGATACTAGCAAAGCAAGGGCAGGGGAACCGTGGCCCTCCAGCAGTTGCTGAACTCATAACTCTCATGAGCCCCATTCAGCAAAGCCAATAGTTAGGAATGGTGGGAGTTGTAGTCCAATACAGTTGGAGGGCCACAGTTCCCCACGCCTTCAGAGCTAGGTCTGCAGTTAGTAATCGCTGCCAACTGCAAAGCACACTGACTCGTAAGATGGTTCTGGAGCTCCTGCAGTTTAGCAGCCATCACCAGGTTAACTCTTGCATGCGCACTGGTACATTAATCATTATCGGCATTCTGCTTGGATTTGCTGCAGTACACGGTCTTGATCAATTTTTTGGTGTTTGTTTGTGGGAGAGAGACACATTCAGCTAATTAATCTTTATAGGTTTGGAAATTTAAAAGTGACACCATCGCTTCCCTGCCTAATTTCACCTTGAAGCAAATCACACTTTGCAAGAGTACATGTCTTAACTTGCCACTTTGAGCTGTTTTATTGGGGGTATTTGTTGTTGCTGCTGCTGAACACATAGACACACATTTGAGAATGGTTGTGCTTTGAATGTCCATGCATTTCAAAGCTATTGTCTTAGAAATGTTACATGTCTTTTCTTGCAGCTCCTGAAGCGTCCTCATAGTTGGTTGCCCCATCACACGCATAGTGCCTGACCTTTGACCCATGTGGCCATTCTGGTTCTCCATAGGTCCTCTTTTTAAGATTGATTTTAGCTTTTTTTGTTGTTGGAAACTACTATTGTTGTTGTTGCTGCTGCCGCTGCTGTTCTTGTTTTTCATTATACCTGTTGAGTTCTTCTTCCCCCTGAAGTCCTGAAGAGCTCTCTCTGGCCACCGCTCACTTTTGTGTTTTTGCTTGTTTGTCTGTTTTACTCCCCAATCCCTCTTTGATACAGATCAAAGTGGTGAATGCGTTCCGTAGCTCCTTGTATGAAGGCCTCGAGAAACCCGAATCCAGAAGCTCCATTCATAACTTCATGACTCACCCAGAGTTCATCCTGGAGGAAGACGAGCCTCGGACCCCATTCCTTGATGGCACTGACGAAGACCCAGAAGCTGAAGAACTCAAAAAGCAAAGTGAGGAGAGCCCAGGCGAGTCCTCACCCCTCAACAAAAATAACAATGCAGTGGACAGCGATACAGCTGAGGACACCATTCCGGAGCCAGAAAGCCCTTTACACAGCTTGGAAACATCAGTTTGACCTCTGAACTTTGATCCTCCTCTTTCTCCCCACCCTCCGCCCCCTCCATGCAACTTAGGCACCAACATCTGACCATACACTGCAGCCACTTCCTGTTAAGTGCTAATACATATATGCCTATTTCCTCCCTCTCTCCCTCCTCCACCCCCATTTATGATTATTTAGCCGCAGGAACCACAATACCACATGGCTAGAGATTTGCTTCTCAACCATTGTTTTCTCAACCATTATTTGAGAGAGTTTCTCAGGAGAGAAACTGCCAGCTTTGATACATCTTGTTCCTTCAAGTTGGGTTCCGTGTGTCTGTAACAGTCACTTTCCCTTGTTGAAGTTGCATGCGTGAAGAAACAAGGTTCAGATTCTCTTAAGCAGCTGTGTTTACAACATCAGATGGTGCAGTTGTGGGGATAGCTCTATTTTATGTGCAGAATCTGAATCTTAGATGCCTCCCTGTGCCCTTGGGGAGAAGGGATGAGCACTAAGAGGATGCCATTATTAGAGGGGGATCTGAATCAGGTATTGGACATGAAAGTGAACCCAGTCTTCCATTGGGGGGGAGGGGAGAGGGAATGGTACCTGAATTTTACCATTTTTCTGTTTGTGTATTCTCTCTCTCTCTCTCTCTGTTTCCATGGTGGTATCAATCACCAGAAGATAAGAGTGACTTTTAAAGTCTTAAAAATGTCTTCTAAACAATGTGGCTTGAAGAAGGCCAAGCAACAAGGAGTTATGAGAGCACCATTTTCTCTGAGAGAATGAAACATGGCCTCTGGGGGAAATGAGTTGTATATGAATTAAGAGCAGATCACATAGGCACTCTGTGTTAGCTGAGGTGATTTCTGTTCAATTTGACTTTAGGGTTTTACTATTTTGACTCTCAGATTAATGAAGTCATTGGCCCTATAAGGTCAACATCCCAATTCCACGCCTGATAATAATAATAATAAATGATCCCAAATAACGTTGCATAAGTCCAGGCCATGGTCGCTGTATACTTTCAGAAGGCTTATTATGGGAAGAGGGGTAGCTCCTCAGACAGTGCAAAATGTAAAGAAGTTGGGCCAGGCCAGCTCTAGTAATGAGCTATTACTACAGCTTCTCTTGCATTTTGTGTGTTGAAGAGTTAACAGTGTAACAGGAATGAAAATGCCTTTGTGAAATTGCAAATGACTTGGTGCTATGGAGTTGGGCCTAGTTACATCACAAAGCACCTTCCTCAGTTATAATTTGAATGAGCCATAGCAATACGGCTTCTCCACATTTCTCATTAGGAGTGCCTTCCCTTTTCATTTCACTGAAACCGGCCTGCATCCTTTCCCCAAAATTGATATTGCGGCTTAAGCTGCCTAAAAATAATAAGTTTTTTTTTAAAAAAAAATGCTGGAGAAGGTAAATCAGCTCTTGCATTGAACGAGGGTGGCGTCATCCTCATCTTAGCATGCATCTCCTAGTATTAAGATGCTGGTCGGGCGACAGCCTTGCAGTGCGTAGCCATATGGGGCACTTGCTGAAACTCTTCAGAGCATATCTCAGTGAGGGCCAGTTTGTACGAGAGAGAGAGAATGTAAAGCATGGGCATCCACAGTTTTAAAAACCGAGGGCAAAACTTGGTGTGATGGGTCACCACAAAATGCTTAACCTGGGAAGTGCTGCCTGGAAGCAAAGAGAGAGCCTAGTTGCTTGTAGCTGTATCTCCTTTCTGGCCATCATCCCGACGTTCAAAAGTGTACAGCTTTCCTTTGGAAGAACGCACAGCAGAAACTCCTGTGCCTTGTCTAAGCACTGCCCAAAGCACCGCCTGCCACGTGGGGAGACGGTACTTTGCCAAGAGATAAGTGTTCCTTAAAGAAACAAGCAAAATTAAACTTAATTGAGTGTTTTGGTTTCATTTTTAAACTCAAAACCCCTTCGTCTTGCGGGTTGATTCCTGAATTCCATTGCAAGTTTGAGGTAGACCTGTGAAAACCCCTTCTCAGTAGATCTTCTGTTCCAATGCTGGTGTAAAGAGGACTTCAGTGCTAGGCACAAGGAGCTGCTAATATCTGGGGGGGTGGGGGGGAGAAATAACCATCAGTGACCATCTTTATTGCAAATAAGGCACCATTCCATCCCCACAAACCTTGTTTTCCTTCCAGATAAATTCACTTCCATTCATCCGAACATCAGGAGGAATTTAAAGAGGGAAACTGCCATCTCTTGCTGCGTGACCTAAGCAAACAAGACTAAGAAAAACTTTTGTTTAGTTACGTTCTAAAGATTACATTGCTTCAAAGGTCATTTTTCTATTTTAAAAACTTGCAAAAAAAAAAAGAAAGAAGTGGTGTTATGCGCTTGCATAAATATTTGTGGGAGGGGATACTGATAATTTTTTTGCTGTTGTTTCTTTGATATTTTTCCTTACCTCAAACATGTTTTGGAAGAAGAAAACGTGGCCCTCACAAAGTCACTCCCAGAGATCTGTAATTGACCAGTGTGGTGAGGGGGTCTGGCCTACATTTTAGTCCATTGTTTTTCTTTTTGTGTGTCTAGCTTCCTCGGGAGGGAGGGGCAGGTGGGGAAATAATTATATAAATATTATGCAAAAAATATATAGTTTTCTTTAGATCAGAAACAGATATTTTTAAGTCAGCCATATGTATTTTGTTTAAAGGAAACAGAACTGCTGAGTTATGTCACTGCAGTGGAATGTAGTCACATGGCTGGTGGTTGGAATTTAGTGATGGGCCAGACTCCAGTCGGCTTCCTTTTCTCTGAACAGCCATCTTTGTACTTAAAAAAAAGAAATCAGTTGTGTTATACAGAAATGTTTTTTATATAAATTATGTTGATATGGCTGGTTGCTTAAAGTATAAGTGTTTATTGTGCATAACATTCTTAATGTAAAATAGGTTGGGTTTTAGTTTTTTCTTTCTTTCCTGTTTTAGTTTCATGGATATAACTGGCAGCAGTTGGCTGGCTTAAGTTATTCAGGAACTATAAAAAAGCAAAACATGTGGCCGAGAAAGAGTGCTGAAGATATGAGGCATGAGCCCCAATCCACAATCATGTAGGAACACACACACACACACACACATACCCCAAAATGAATGGCCAGCATTTGGGGCTTCCACGGCACAGATCACCTGCTTGGGGGATGGAGGGGCAAGGGAGACCACTACCACCACCTCCCCAAACAGTTGAACGGCACTGCCAAAGGTTGACTGCACCAGCCACATCTTAGCGGAAAGATAAGTAAAACCAGTTCAACAAAGATCAGCACCTGGTGCAAGGCTGCTGTTGTTTTAAGTCCACAAGGCATCCTTTTATGTGCATTTAGATAGCGCCCATGTAAGGCAATCCACGCACCGAAGCCTAGTTCTGTGTATGATCTGCCTTTCGGGGATGGGGATAGATTGCAATTTCTCTGAAACATACCATGAAGGGCGGGAAGATATTTGCTGCCAATCGAGTGATCCTTGGGGGGTGGGGATAATTCAAGGTTGTGCCATGCCAGACAGGAAATGAGGTAATATCCTGTGATGTGTGTTACTTTGCCTTGGAATGCTGTCTTGTTGTTGTTTTATAAGAGAGAAACAAGAAACCCTGGACATAATTTTGCATCCAGTTCTTAATCGTAGGAATTTATTCTCTTTTTGTTAAATAAATTGGCAGATTGGTACCAAAGACATTACATCACTTCCTGTGTGCAATGAAGACTATCCATTTTTAGGAGTTAGAATTATCTAATTGGTTATTTTTATTGAGTCGCACAGGGATCTGACTTAATTTTTTTCAAAAGTTTTGTGCAATAAGTTTTAAGATAATATTATTTTAAAACACAAAAAGACAACTACAGAAGGAAAACAAATCTAATTGTAATTTTAGCCATGGGCAGTCATGAGCAGACATCAGTCTTGCTTAAGGGCAAATTTTGAATTGTTACTAGAATTCTCTGCCTGTGTTTTCACTTGCCTCTTCTCTTCGAAATCAACACAAGGCTCTATCGTGATGGAGCTGAAGTCCACTGAAGACTCCTAATGCCTTTAATTTTAAATGGTCCACATCCCAAGATCCCCGTCATCCACCCAGAGGATCTGTGTCCGCTTTACAGCATCTCCCCTCTCCATCCCGGTCTACTCTTCCTTTTGGTTGAGGTTAAGACAAATGCTTGAGGTGGGTGCAAGCCTGATCGCAGCCACAGTTTTAAAGAGGAGCAGGGAGGTCTTGGAAGCCTAATGCCAACCATCATCTTCTCTTCACACCTGCTCGAGAAGTCACCGGTCAAGGTTAACTCTGGACAAGGGCTCTTCTTCCTCAGCAGAGCACCTTGATGAGAGAAGGACAAGCTGCCTGCACCACTGAGGAGAGAATATGGCTACGACGAGAACTCTCTCTCTTTGTCTTGTCTACTCTGCCTTTAGAATACCTTCAATCATATATTGGAAGCAATGTAGCTTCCACGTCAGTCCTTCTCACACTCTCTGCAGTCATGGTAATAACCCTGCTAACCAAAAGGGGCAAAATCTGCAAATTCATGTGCCCTTTGATGAACCCATGGCTAAGACTACTTGTTTGTTTTTTTCTGCCCATAAATAAATATATATACAGTATTGGAATAGATATTTGTGTATATATTTATTTGAATGAAAAGGCTTTTCTAAAGAAGCATGCAGATTAGAATTTACGTTTTCTTCCCCTTTTTTCCAGTAACTAGTATAATAAGCACTGGTATTTTTGTATAAAAAAAGAAAAAAAAAGACAAAACAAAAGACTGAATATTATGTGGTATGCATGACATAAACAAATGGTGGTTTCAAAGCAATATGTACCCTGATGTGTTTGCCATATTCTAGAGTCCAGCTTAAAGTGCACCTGATCTGTAATTGCATTTTGATATTATTTAATCTCTATGTACAATGTTTTGCATGTATTTATATGGTTCTTGGGAAGAATTTTTTGTTTTGTTTGGGGGGAGGGGTAAGGAGGGAGGGATTGGAATGATTGACAATGAGCTTCTTCCAGAACATTTGAAACTCCAAGCAGAGGTAATGCTGATTGGAACCATGATGGGGAAATCAAGCCAATTTTTTTTTTCAAAGGTGCAACAGGCGGGGAAAGGGATAAAAGTTTTGAACTAATAAAGCATTTTTTGCTGTTGAGCAAAAACAGTGCGTGAGTGCGTTGAGAGAATAAACTGTGCCCACTTGTAACCGTGATGTCTTCAATATATGTCCCACCAGTTTTTGAAGTCACTGATCATCTACTGAAGCTGAGATGAAGGAGAACCTGAAGGAATGTAAAAGTTTGGCTTGGAACAAAATTGTAGCGTGAAAACAGATTTTAAAAAATATATATAACTAAAATTGATGTGACGTTTTCAATATCCAGTGTGCACAGCTGCACAAAACCTCTGCCACTTCTGTCACCTCTCTGCAAGGTCCAGAAAGAGCCATCAAATACTAGCCAAGGCAGCATGCCAGCACAGAGAGAAATCCAAATGATAATTTATTTCAACGGGTGAAAGGCAGCAAGCAGTGCTTTGCAAATGGTGGATTTTTAATCACAAGCCCACAAAGGTGGAGAAACAACATGGATAATAAATGTTCTTAACATAAGGCAGCAACTTCCTCCAGTTACAGCAGTTAAGATCTGTAAACAAATAATAAATCAATGTTATTTCTAGCATTTCTTATCCTTTCCAAGAAAGTACCACAGGAGCAAAAATATAATGCTCTATTTCAGTAGGTTTGTTGAGTGTAAGATGAAGAGATCAGTTCATATATTACACTTGTGGTTTGAGCACTTTGAAAGCATGTTCTTGAATCAGGCATTGAATGAGCTAGATACGTGCACTTATCACACCCTATGTTTCATCATAAAAAACCTGGCAAAAAGTGTTCTGATCATTCTCCTTGAGCCACAATACGTTTTCATGATGCACATATGGTGAAATAAATGTATGTCCTTCAACTTCCATGGGGTACCTGCTAAAAGTGGGGTGTCTGAAACAATCCACACCATTCAGCAAAATGAGATGCAAAATGTCTTCAGTCTATGAAGGGTATTGTGCTCCACCACATTTCTTTAATAGGAAGAATAAAAAATCTCTATTACAGCAAACGTTTGCAACTTTAACATCTTGCTTTTCTTCCCTCCTCTCTATTCTATACATGACAGCTGAGTAGTAACTCCCATTCTGCCATTAAATTCATTGGGGCTTGCTTCCAGCTAAGTGATTATGGGCTTGCAGCTGTACTCCCCTTCAGAGTAAGCAGGATTACTTCATAGTGCAGTGCAATGGTTCAACAATGCAGCTGATCCTTATAGGATAGTAGCAAAAGAAGCCCCCATATTTCCAAACCTAACTAGTGAGACAGGATATAAATGTTTTTAGAATCCAGTCTGTATCCTGCTCATGCTGGAAGAGGGTTAAGCAGGAGTGAATTCTGCATCTAGGAGAATTGTGCACCGAAAGGGCAAGATTCAGTGGATAAGGCAAGCTAGAAAACTGGTCTGTTTCACTTAATTTGTATTTTATGATCAAACATTTTTCATCCCAAAAATATTGTTGGAAGCAAATCCCCCAGCTTATTCCAAAACATATTTCTTAAGTCAACATTCTGTGTAGATAACAGAGGGGGCTTTGATCAAAAGCTCTCCATTTGGATAAGGAACAACTGCAAAAAGTTTATTTTGTTTCTAATAGTGACCTAGAAGTGAAAGTTGAGCAGGTGTTTCCTTTAAACGACAAGACGCAACGCCTGCTCAAATTCAGTTTCTTGAATGAGGGAACTGAAGCCTTGCTCCTATATTAAGTCTGGGAATAACCCTGCTACTTTCCAATTTGTTGGTGGTCCCTGCTTACCAAGCGCCATTCTTCAGGTTTCTCGGCAGTGTGATTTAAATGAGACTCTGGATGTGTGAAAAGCCCTTGCCTATGCAGGGTTTCGCATAGCTTGTTGGCCTATTGAAAGCAGTTCTCTGCTAGGGTGGTCAATTGTGGAAACAAGGCCAGTCTCCTGCACCTTTTAGAGCAGGAATGTCATCAGGTGCTGTCTGCATGATAAGTTACACCTGATGAGCTTAGCTCTTCAACACCACTATTAAAGATGAGGGAGCCTGGCTCTCTTTTTGGATTTAGCCACTGGATTCTCAGCCCATGCAACAGATTCAGCAAGGGTAGCATTTACACAACAACACAGACTGCTGGCATGCACAGGTAGGCTCATGGTTTTAAATGTGCTGAGCACCATAGAATCCTGTCCAGGGTTGTTTTGCTTTTGTGCACAAAAGTCTCATTTAAATCAGGCCAGGATAATGCTAAAACAAATGGTCAAGTAATGCTAATGGAGAAATTTGCTGTTTTGGAGAGTAGGGAAATGTGTTAGTGCGATCTCAGGCTGGGGAGAGAAGCAAGCAGGCCTGTGAATCTCCAAAGGGCCATGATTTTCTTTGTATGTAATTCTTTGTAATAATATCCCTTTGTGATTAAAAACCTGAGCCAAATAATTACTTGGCAGAGAGCAGGATGATTGCAGGGTCACAGCAAGGTCATTGTTGCTTCCAAAATTGCAAGTGAGATACAGATGTTATAGCTGAGCAGTTTCCTATTATGGTTGTTTTTCCTATGCTGCCATACAATGATGCCAAATTACTTGTGGTTGTTGGACTTTCCTTTAAAAGAGCAGATCAATTATTTACCTGATCATTGTCTGAATTCTGTGGCCTGTGTGGTTCTTGTTAGCGTGTGACCTGTGCTCCTTTTGTGCCATAACCTGGTAGATGTGAAAGCTGCCATTTTTGTGCCTTTCAACCAGCCCACCACTGCCCACGCTCCCTGTTCCATCATCTGCCGATGATTTGCAGCTGCTGTTTCTTGACAAATGAGTGATAGAGAACTTTTGGAGATTTCAGGTTACAGCCACTCCCAAGTAATACTTCATTGGCAATCCTGGGACCAAGACCTATTAGAGACCAAAAAAGGAAGCCCTGTTCAGGCATTCAGTTTATTATGCACATGAGTCTTAATGCTGCCTCTCCGTCATGTCACTGTTTTCCATGCATGCTTCTTTCCATGAGCTGAAGAGCAAACGCATGCAGCGGGGAGTCTCCTGCATTTGTGAAGCTTCTGCATGGGGTTTAGGACCCTGAACAATCATGCACACAGGGTGGTCTTCACTGCAGAAATTCACTTTCCAACCTTTTCAGCATTCTTGGGAATGGTGACATGACTGCAGGAGCAGGGTTGGCCAGCAGGTCCCTGCCTTTTTCACACAAGATAAGCCTAAACAAGGCTGCAGTAAAGGCCACAGCATCAATAGTTGGGTATATGCTACGGTCTTCATCAAACATTAGCAAGTATAGTGCAAGTTACAGATACATGTGTCCCTGCTAGTGTTGCAACATAGGTGTGCATTATAGGTATAACAGCTAGAGGACTCAATGGCTCGTGTTTTCTCAAACAGCCAATTGATGACAGCCTGAAATTAGATGAAAATTTCAGATGGACAAAGCCATCAAGCTGGAATTCTTGGCAGACTATCCATCTTAATGGGGTCAGCCCGGAAGTTCCTTTTGGAGGTTACACAGCAGCCTGCATAGGTGACTTTGGATTCTTTCTAGAAACTCAAATATTACAGGTTTTGATGGGATAAATCTCATGTTAGTGCAAGTGCACAGGTTTGTGAGGAATAGCCATAAGAGAACCAGAAGAGTGAGAGTGAATATAAGAGTCCCCAGTCTGAGCAGAAAAGTAGCTGGGCTTTTTTTTGGGGGGGGGGTCCAGATCAGTTTCAAAGTAAACCTCTGGCACCCATGAGCAGGCAGGAGTACATCCAGCTCAATGTTTCACAGTGAATCCCCGGTGCAAGTTGCAGTTGCTGCCTTTTGTGTCGCCAGTTTGCGTGAAGTCAATGTTGCTTCCCTTGGCCTTAAATCCTATCATTCATTTTGGCCACAGTACTTTTTTGTCTTAGCGGGTGTGGAATCAGACTCCCTCCGTCCATTCAAAAAACAGTCCAAAATCTTTAGGGAGGCTAGTTTGTTGGCTGTTTTTGGGCCTTGCCCACTTTCTGAACAAGTCTGTTGGCTTCATGATTTCTAGAAAACTGGATTGGGATTGTTTACTCAGGCTATTTGCTGCTTGTAAACAGAGAAATTGGACCCAGCAGATCACTGCCTCATTCTATTGGCAAAAAGAAAAAGGAGAAATACAGTAAAACAATTAAAAAGTGTAAACCAAGCAAAGCCTCAATAGATATCAGTGCCGAATATTTACTGCCTCTTGTCTTCTGTGTCTGTCGCCGTCATGTGGTCCACCACAGTCCGTCGCTGACAAATCCAGCCTGTGTGTGTGAGGCCATCCGTTGTCCATGGGCAAGCATTTTTTTAAAATTAATTGTAAATAAAAAGAATCAAAAATGTGGCCCATTTCTTCTGCTTCTTGGTATGTTTTGCGTCTCCAGCTGTGTCAAGTTGTGAGCTTTGAGGGGAGGGTGGAAAGGAGTAAAAATGAAGAGATTGTTCACATGTGGTTAGTTTCTGGTCTTGAATCTTGCAGTCCCAAAGAACTGAACCATGTTTGGGAAGCCTGAGGCCTTGCTTGTGGGCTCTTAAATAGTGCCCCACTTGGGCCCCCTCTTAACTCACCCAATGGTGTTGGTGCATTTGCAGATGTGAACACATCCAACTGTTTGGACTAACATATGAAATTGTCTGGCTAAATGGCAGCGGAGCCACTCCAGTATGTAGTAAATTGCTTGAGATGTTCTGTTCATTTGACCTCATACAACTAATGCTGCAGCCAAAAACTTGGTAGTACGGTAGAGTAGGGGTGGGAGAGGGATTGATTGCAAAACAGCCAGATGAGAAATCTAGGTAGCCTGATGGGTAATACAATTAAGTGAATAGAGCAGGGGATGCATGAATTCATTTAAATATCCACAAGTAAAAGGGTTAAAGTTATGTGGCACCATCCCAGAGTTGTCCATTGAACCTAATTGTACTTCCTCCAAGGTAAGTGTGCTTAACTTTGCTGCCTTGCTTTCTTTTAATGAAAGCTTGCACCTTCTGGGGAAAGGGCTGGACCATCCCCAAGGATTCAAGAGCCCCACAGGCGCACTGCACTGTCATTACAATCCTAGTTTTGTCTTCCTGGAGCAATGGTGGCCAGCTGTCATGGACTGGTTGGACGTGGAGGAATGGTAGGAGAAGCCATCTGGAGAATCACCAAGGGAAGAAGACTCAGAACCCAGGGACATAAAACTAGCCCCCATTTGAGGTCTTGGACTTGTCACTGAAATTTTCCACAGTGCCCATAATGTGTCAGCGCTGGGGCATTGTGAGAATTTACAGTGGCCACTCCATCAGAGCACTTGCTGCTGCAAGGATCATGGGAAGACATTTTGCCAAGGACCCCTTCAAACCTTGAATTGGCCTTGCCTGCTAATAGGAGGAGGAAACACGAGATCATGAAGGACATGTTGGACCAATATTTATCCTGCTAAAAGACAAGTGTTCATTTCCTCACTGGGCTTATCAGTGAAGCATTCAAGGTCAGGTGCTAGATAGTCTCAAAACCTAGTAATTATTTGGCCTCTTTTAATCCAATCATAGATGTAGAAGACCCAGTCTAATGCTGCCTGTTTGGAACCTCCCCTTTTGAGGTAGGACAATCACATGTTCCCTTTACTTCAAGCAGCTCTGGCATGCATCATGTGCCCAAGACATGTTCCATCAGCCTACTGTGCTAATAGCAATTATTTGCAATCACCGTAAGGGATGGTGACTTTTATTTGCCTGGATAAATTGCAGAGTGATTATATTGCCTAGTGCAGCTTTTGCCAAGCTGGTGCACTGCAGAGGCTTTGAACTATAACTTCCATCAGTCCCAGATAGCATACTGACACTGGGGCTGACGGGAGTTACAGTCCAGAATCTGGAGGACACCAGGTTAGCTGAAGTGCAAGCAGCACTTTTAATTATGGACGTGATCCAACCCAAATTAAGATGGATTTTAACAGGAGAGTAAAATTAGGATTGCCATACATCCGGAATTTCCAGGACATAACCAGAATACTGCAGTCAGAAGCAGTGTCTGGGCAGAAACCGGATGTCAGGGAAATCCAGCCGTATCCCCCCCCCCCCCATGTCAGCAGTGTTTTGCGAAAAAAGTTCAACTTTTGTGTCCGGATTTTCCCTTTTTGAAATATGGCAACCCTAGTAAAATGTGTGCCAAGTGTTTTCTTTAGACTGGATTGTGTCTGTGAATTGTGCAAGAGACATTTCTGTATCCAGGAGAAATATTCTTATCTGCTCCCCCCTCCATTGATCTTTATAGGACACAGTTTGGGAGCACAGGAAGTAGTCTTAGAGAAAGGAAATAACAACAAAAAAGCTAGCTATGCATTCTACACTGGCTCTGGGTTGGTCAGCTGCTAGTCTTGCAGAGTTTCTCCAGGGCAACAACATGAGCTAAGTTGGAAGCCCTGAAAAAGCATTTCCAGAGTCCAAATGTAAAGCAATCTAGATGTTTTCAAGCTGCTGGTGTTCAAATGAAGCGAAACGGCATAGCAAGTCAAAACCATTTTCACCGGTGGCGTTATGAACACCTTTCCACCCTGTTACAAGACTTATCTACATGTAAATGACTCTTAACAAGTACATCACATGCTGGACACTAATTTTAAATTTGAGGGTACAACTCAAAAGGTGAGTTTACATTGCATTGTTTGATGCAAGATTTCATTCCCCTGTAAACAAACCCAGATGGTCTGAACCTAATCCAGTTATTTTCTGCTTCCAAATAAGTCACTTTAAGACTGCAGGCAGACTTAAATTAGTGTTGCCGATGGGGGATTTCTCTCCAAATACTAGTTTAAAGGGGATTTTCCTCGGGATCACAGGAAAGGATTAAAGTATCCCTCTGCCTGCTGTAAGCCCAATAATTTATTAGCACCCCCCCCCGATAAAAACATGCAATTTGCATACAAAACCATAGATGCTGTAACAAAATGCCACATCTGCAAAAATGCATTGTCCCCTTATACTATTCCCATTTACATGGAGATTTGCCTGAACATCAGTGGTCTCTCTCCTTGAGCTGGCTTTTAGATGATAGATCAGTGGTGCCGTGCATTCTTTATCTTTACTTTTAACATTAAACAGACATTTAATTTGTTAATTCCAAGCATCCTGGGGGACATACTATTCTTAATGCCCAGAGTTCTAAGGAGAATCCTATTTATAGAAATAGCAAATTTATTATGACTCTGCATCCTACATGATTATTTGGCAGCTTGGACCAGCTTGAGAACCTTTGCCCTGCCCTATCTTGCCTAAGCACATATACCTGAAATAATTTTCAAGTATTACCCTCCATTTCCTATTTTCCATGTGTTAGATTCTGGAATGTAAACTTGAGAGACCTCTTGTACTCTGTAAAGCATCAGGCATACTGATGATGCAGCATTAATAATCTATAACATGAGACACTAGGGAGCCTGGCAATTTCTGAATAGTTTATGAACACTGAATATACAACATGCAAATATACATTTTTTTATTCAACTATGTACAAGCGCCTCAGAGGAGCAGACTACCCCTATTTTATGAAAGGTGAAAACTCACAAGTATGTAAAAAGAGCTATGATCAAACTCTGCAGATAAAAAATGTAAAGGACAGTGAGAATCTCACATCATAAACTTAAACTCAGAATTTGATTCTATTATCTACGATAATCCAATGACCTATTTTTAGTGCAAGACTTTTTTTAAAAAAAGAAATCTGGCTCTTCAGTCCTTTTATGTTGCCATCTCAATTTGAGGCAAGTAAAAGCTGAGAAGCCATGACAGGTGGCAAATTCCTATTCTATTCTGCACAACGTTTTGGAAATAAAACATTGAAACACATTTCCGACATTAACTTTATTTAAAACACAAATACTTCTCTCTCCTGCAGACTGTTTAAAGAAATAGCAAACATATCTGATTCAGATAGTGATTTAAATAGAAAACAAAAAGATGTACAGAAAGCAATGGAGTCTGTAGTTAAAAGCCTAGAGAGGAATCTCTTGTATGGAAAAACAAAAACAAAAAATGAAGAAAAATGTCAACAAACAGAAGGTTCTGCATAAGCAGACACAAACTATTGCAAACTATTCACAGTCTCAAATGTCTGTTACTTTTGTTCACCGTCAGAAGTTCTCTGGTTTCCCACTTTTTTGGAGCAATGTGTCAACTAGCAGTTAATGCAGGGCAGCTTTTAACATAAATTTAAAAGTATGACTCTATTCAACCATATTTTGCACAGGCAAAATTTCAATGTGAACTTGCAAAGCACAGAGTTTTTCCAAGTTACAAGTGAATATATTTACAACAGAATCAAGCAAATTTTTATTCTTGGTAGGAACGCAACCAGAAAGATCCTGCAGATAACAACAATAGTCAAAAGGTAATCATATGAAATATGGATGTAAGAATGATAGGGTATACAATACACCCAAGCCTCCACAGCCACACTGTAGAGTTCATGGAACACTGCCGAATAAAGATCATTGGTGGGGCTTCAAGTACATGGGTACAAAAGTTTGCAGGTGGGCAGTTTCAGAACCACAGCTGAGAACTGTGTGGATTTGGCAGGGAAGAGTGCATATATATGGTTTACCTGGTTTACCTGCCAAAAGGCAGCATTCCAAAGCTTTGTTTTAAATGACCGGTGCAATATCAGCAAAAAAGGCCATCAGTTCAGGAAAAAAAGAACAAAACCTGAGAATAACCTCACATGCCCTTGTAGGGCATGTTTTAAAAACAATAATTATTTTTAATGAATATAGGTACACACAAAAAAATTCTTAGCTTTTGCCTTATGGAGTTTATGCTTGCTAGTGGAAACTAGTCTAAATGGTACAGAATAACAGTGAGGAAGATTTTTTTTTAAAAAAAGTTCAATATTCTTTCCTTCTTCCTAAAGCCACGCTTGCCATGTGGCAGTAAGTTCAGATGGAGATTACTACATTTCTGCTCTTCCACATTTTAAACTGTACTCCTGGCTCTAGAATCAAATTTGAAAATATAATTGCATGACTCAAAGAGCTGACACAGTAACTTGGGAATACAGAAATTACCCCCAAAAAAATCACAATGAAGAAGCTGTGAAACAGACATTGAGGTTTGCCACAAGGCTGGAAAACAAAATGTGACAGTTAAGTAACAAAAATATATACAGGAAGGTTGTTGAGTCAACAAGTGGACCCTAGTTGAAATGTTCGTGGTTTTCTCAAAGTATTTCAGGTGGGCAGGATAGTAACACGACAATCATATAGGAACATCTCTCTGACCAGCAGGGCAATACAGGACAATCAAATGCAGCCAATTTCTTTCATCAGTTCAAGTGTGCTTTAAGACTTGCCATAACTTCACCAAGAAAAGGGTAATCTTGGTTATCCAACAAAATATACAACATTTATTTTCTCTCAGAATAAACCATATGGGGATGAAATCAGCTGTCAATCATTTCAGAAAGTTCAAGCAAGAGGTCGTCCTCATCTTTTCCTGGGTCCAGATCAATCTCTGCTTCCAGTTTGCCTCCTGAGATTTCCCATATCAGCTTTTCAAAGTCATCGTCTACTGAGGTGGGTGTCTTCCCAGGTCCTGTTGAGCTCAGTCTGCGTGTCTTTACTGCTGCATGGGAAGAGGTTGCACCTGCTGTCTCTGCTTGCAACGTGGAGGCTGCCTGGTTCTCCATATGCAGTTCGGAGCTTCACAAAGAGGGAAAAGATAACAATATGATACATCTCCAAGGGGGAAACAGATATCCTGTCTGGATGTGGGGAACCCTTAGCCCCAGTAGAATGGTGTGATATTAATAAGCTGTGCAGGAAGTTTCTCCTCTAGCAGTAGACAGGTCATAAGTTAGTTACAAATCTGAAACTTAAATAGGCAGGATGGAGGTACATAAAGAGTAGAGATAATATTCTTATATGGGAATTCAAGCAACATTTGGGAGGGGGTGTTGTGCAGGGCAACATGTATAGTTGGTGTACACCAGCCCATCCTTGCTGCCACATTCCCACCAATATGCAATATATAGGAAGGTCTGAATTAAGGATCTTGCATGATCAGAACTGACAGGGAATTTTGCACTATCACCAGTGGCTTCAACTGCATTCAGCTAAGCATGGTTAGAAACCTCTTATGTACGGCCTGCTCTCCTCTTCACACACTAAAATGACTGAAGAAGCCTTATGTTGAAGTGTCATCTAGGTCATATTATATGGTCAGGAAGCAGTTGGTTAGCAGAAAGAAATAGCTGGATTATTGCTATGCCACTAAACTATCTTCTTCAGCTATGCATGTTTACACTATGTAGCCGTAAAGGTAAAGGACACCTGACAGTTAAGTCCAGTTGCGAACGACTCCTGGGGTTGCGATGCTCATCACCAAGGGAGCCAGTGTTTGTCTGCTTCCGCAGACAGTTTTTCCGGGTCATGTGGCCAGTCACTTCTGGTGATCCAGAGCAGCACACGGCAACGCCGTTTACCTTCCCGCCGGAGCAGTACCTATTTATCTATTTGCACTGCGTGCTTTCGAACTGCTAGGTTGGCAGGAGCTGGGACCGAACAACAGGAGCTCACCCCGTCACAGGAATTTGAACCGTGACCTTTTGATTGGCAAGCCCAAGCGGCATAGCACCACCCACGTCTTACATTTTGCTTTTAAGATAGCTAAGTTCAAAGTGAACTGAGCAGTATGAAAAACAAAATGCAAGACTTAAGAAACTAGTTTATGGGAAATATCAGGTATGATAAATAGCATAAGGTCTTGAACAACTTAAAATACTGAATCAGCTCATTGCAGCATAAGCTTTGATGAGCAAATTCTACTTTAGATGCAGAAGTAGAGTCCTAGCCATTTATTTATTTTATGGCATTTATATACCATTTAATTGCAAATCAGTAAATCACATAGCATTACCTACAAAAGGTTATGTCAGAATAAATGTATTGTTGGTACCCATGTTAAAAACCAAGAACAAATGCTTGATCTTGCTGGTCAAGTTGCAGTTGGTTTCCAAATTATCATAATTTGGCTTTAAAAGGCAAATTTTTGTCAGCATTAGTATGAGATATCTAAACACTTCATCCAGAGTACTGCTATCTCCTCAGTGCAGTAGGATCTGAAGAGTGAAAGCTTGGTAACATTTGACTCTATCTTGTTGACAAAATTAAAATTAGTACAATGGGAAATAGTCACAATTTGTATTAATTTCTTTTAAGCTGTTTCAAGTATTATGATCTATTACTGGCCTAACTGTATTTCTTCAGAATCTGCCACTACAGTCTTGGAATTTTCAATATGAACTTCACTATATCCCAGATTCCTATGGCATTAAATTTAATTGAATCTATTCCCAGTGCCTGTTACCTGGACCTCCACTTGCAAACCTACATGGAAAGAAAGCTGAAGGACCTTATCCTAATTTTCACTTGATCTCATTTGAGTAATGGCTAATAAACATTCAAAGTCAGCTTGCACAACTGTTCCAAGGGACAATCTCAGTGACATATAATAGGGTTATAGATAGATAGATAGATAGATAAGATAGATAAAATAATTACCTGTTAGACTGCACTCTCTCAGGAACAACGGCTTCTGTGGCTTCTGGAAGACTAGGAGCACTTGCCTGAGAGAGGGGGAAAAAGTTTGTGGCAGGTTTTTCTCTCTCCATCATCATTATGCTGTTTTAATTCTTGAGCATCCTATTACCCCCCTGCAAAAAAGCCCACCCCTGCTACTTATCTCAAAGTGCAAAGTTACAGCACAAGCTAATACTTTCAGCTATCAGGTAGTCTCCAACAGCACAAATCCATCTTCTTACCAGGGCTGTGTTTTCAGATGGGTGCTCCTTTGTGTTTGCGCTTGGGATGAGACTCAGAGGCTTCACTGCAGCAATAACAGAAGGATGACTCTCTGATGCTTTGCGCTTCAGTGCCTGCTTTGCTGGAGACACGGGCTTCACCCCAGATGGTTTCACATTCACTTTTGGTTTGGCTAGAATATGAAAAAGCAACTCAAGGTTAGTCCGTGAACACAGAATGGCAATGTTACTCTTCTCTCTCCCTAACTTTTTTCCATAATAGCACATTTTAAAACCAAAAACAGCACTTCTCTTCCTCCGAGACCTTTTTTAGAAATGTCAGATCTGTAATTACAAAAAGATTCAGTGCTCTTTGCACATGGCAGTTCTCTATCTACATGAAAAATGCAGCATCCTGCAAAGGGCTTTTTGACCTATCGCAGACCCTCCAAGTGTCCTATTTTCCAGGGACATCCCTGATTTAGAGAAGCTGTCCCAGTTTCTGATTTGATCCTGGAATGCCCTGCTTTTCCTTAGAATGTCCCTATTTTCACAGGAGAAATGTTGGAGGGTAGGGAGTTCTCTTACCCCTGAGCTGTCTGAAGGCAATCCTGTATAGGGAATTTTTTTAAATGTTTAATGCTTTATTATTTTTTATATATGTTTGAAGCTGCCCAGCATGGCTGGGCCAACCCAGTAAGATGTGTGGGATATAAATAGTAAAATTATCATTATGGAATGGGAAGTCCCTATTTTCATCAGAGAAATGTTGGAGGGTATACTATTGCAACTAAGACTAAGAATGTGTCTTTGCCACAAGTGCAGAAGCATACAATTCGGGCGTGTTGGACAGTGCCCAGATATGATGCTATCAAATCTCCCACATCCAGAGATTGTCTAGCAGTGAGTGAGAGAGAGCAAGTGCAGCTTCATGCCATATACCAAGAGAGGTCCAGTTACCTGGCTAAGCAGTCGCCAGGACTTCCCAGAGGAACTCTGGGCTTCAGATTTGTCCCTTTAATACCATACGTCCTTGTGCCTTTGTCTCAAGAGTAAGCAACGCAGGTTGATAGTATGAGACAGAAAAGGCAACAGTTACAGCTGTTGCCCAGATTACATTTTGAAGCAACTGGGAACACACATGCTATCTCAGAGATAGATGAAAGCTCAAGATGTTTTGCCAATTCCGGAGTGTGTGTATCAGTATTATGCAAGAATATTCATCCCATCCCTTTGCGCCTGGGACATGTAAGTGGAATGTGGGAGTATGATTAAGAATACACACCTTGTTACTTAGCTCATGGGGCAATGCTGAAACTTAAAACAAGTAGGAACCTAGATGGCAGAAATTTAAAAGCCTCTTGTTCTACCTCTTATGAGCAGCTTAAGGAAGCCAACCTTTTTTTGACTCTTGATTACCATCAAGGTGTTGCTGTTTACCTTTAATCTTTCGTTCTACAGGCTGAGCAGAAAGTCTCGACTCCTCTGACCCCACGTTCTCTGGCGCTGCCTCCTGGGATCTCACCAGCAACCTCTTTGTAAGTGGGCGGCTTTTCCCTGTTGTCACTGGGGATACAGGATTTTTCGCCCCTGGGGCCTTCCCTTCTGCAGTTTCTTCCCCAGCAGATGGCACAGTCACTTTCTCCTCCTGGGGCTTTCTCTCTTGCTGCTGTTTTAGCCGTTGCTTCTCCTTCCTTATCTCCTCCAAGCTCTTCACCTGGACTTTAGAATGTGAATTGCTCATGCCGTCATTCAAAGGCTGAGTAGACAATGAGAAATAAAAGGGTGAGAAAACAGGTGCTTCCCAGGGAAAGCGCCCCCCCCCCCATATTTCAGTATCTTGACATGCTTCTTGGGTGGCCTGGCTCTGGACAGTGCTCAGGATTTCTTTCTTCTGTTTGTTTTTACTTTTTTGGCTTTTTATAACCATGAAGCAGTCATAGTCTGGGGTTGTCTGTCAGAAAAATGATGCCCCATTGTGTTTCTTGGTGGCATGATGTGCCCTTCATAATAGGCTGTCAAAATATATTATGTTGAACTTTGGCCCAGAGCTGATTAGCTAATGGGATCTAAATGGGGCTAGAAGGGTGAGAAAGCAGGGTTTGTGTATCACGTGACAGCCAGTCCTGACATAGATGTCTAATGGCAGTTTCCAAAGATGCTAGATGATAATGAACATGCATCAGTAGCAAGGCCTGTTTTTCAACACAGAATGTATTGTGTACCAAAATGAAGACTTACCTTCGCAGTGGCATCTGATGTAAAAGTTCTTGGAGAGGACTTCAACTCTAGATGTTTTTTTTCTCTTTCAGGAGCTGTTAAAAACACCACATTGATCATTCTAAAAGGAGAATTAATTCTCCTGAGGCACAGCTATTTCCCACCTTATGAGGACAGGTAAATTAGGTGGGTGAGCACCACACCCAGCAGTCTTCTATCTTGCTTTAAATGCTTGCTACCTTCCAACACCAAGGTCCATGAAGCACTACAAGCAAGGCATTTCATCTCAATTCCTCAATTTTTGAGGAACACATCCTGCCCAGACACATCCTATCCCGTCCTGAACTAGAAAATGTGCATAATGGTGACATGCCAACAGGCTGATTATTTAAGTTACTTCCAGCTGAAAATACTTTTTTTCCAGAAATATTTGTTCTGGCATTAGTTATAGGCTCCTACAAAGTGAACTGAAAAGAGTACCCCCACTTGAATTTAAGGTCAAATTAAAATGTGCGATCCCATTTGCTGAAATACTGAAAAATGCAGGAAGGACACTTGAAGGGCAGGAGAAAGAATGCTTAACGCCTCCTGCCATTGCCAATACTCTCCTCCTATGAATACCCTACTCATGCTAGTTCCCTTCCTTTACTCTGAGCTCATTTCAGAGCCATGTGTGGGAAGGGGGCGGGGGGACATCAGCACACTACAGTATGTTCTGCAGCTGAAGTTCCTGATATTGCTCTACTCTATGTTCCAGCAGTCAAATCTATCATGAGTATTTATACCAATTTTATCATTTATAAAAAAATCTGCTTCAACATGCATTCTGAATATGAGTATTTGGTAGTAAAATGGTGCTACAAACAGGGCATGCATAGTACCTGTTGGCTTTGTAATGCATAACTGTCTCCTCCCAACTGGAGTTCGCTCAGGTTGCATCTGCGTCTTTGAGGTGTTCTCCCCACTTTGCTGCATTCGGAGGGCTTTTTCCTGCTTGATTTCCTCTAGAGTTTTGATGCGCACCTCCCTAAAGTCCTTAGCTTTGTCAGAAGGCTCCTCCAGCTTTCTTCTGCTGGAAACAGCTGAACCCAAGGAGCCTTGCTTCTGGGGCTCACCCTCATGCTTTGGTCCAGCAAGGCTCCCTTTTTCAGCTTTTAGGCGCTCCTCTTCCATTTGCCTCTGCTTCTTCTCAGCCAGGACCTCTGAAAAGGTTTTGATCCTGATGGCAGGAGACGGTTTTGCCACTGCATTGGGATCATCAATGGTAAAAGTTACTTGAACCTTGGGTTTGGGATGAATTTCTCCCTTTCTTTGGCTAGCCTTCTCCAAACGGATTTCTTCCAGTGTTTTCACACGAATTTCGCCTACTGGTTGGGCAGCATTCTCTACACCACAAACACAAAGCAAAATGAAAAAATGCACAATAGAATTAATTAGTTTGCATTTTTATGTTAGTCAAAATTTCAACTGTTCTAGGCTGTATATACTTTTGCTCTGAGAGTTTAACAATCTGCTTCTTATCCCCCAACCTCATTCTAAATGGGCTTCCCTCAAAATGTACATGTCGTATTTCAACCCTTGCCAGTTTTTTGCAGTAGATTATCCAAGTCAAAAAGTGAGCAGTATGTAAAACATTGCTGAAGAACTAATGCTGAGAGCAAGATCTCATTCCATAAAGGAGCTCTAAATTCAGGAGGTAAGAAAAAAGAACAGTTGCAGGCTGATCTTTTTGTGACATGGGCCTTTTATAGATTTTAGCCTTTTATATATTATTATCACATTAAACTCTGTGAGGTTTACTTCTGAGTAGAGTAGCTTGGATTGCACTAAGGCTGCACATGCAAGAAATAGGAAGAGGATATCCCAAGGTACTCCAATAAAACCAATTGTTACCTGTTTCCATGTTGTTCTGCTCAGATGGTAATCCTAGTCTCTCTTTAAGTGACAAGGGAACTTGTACTGCAGAAAGAAAGAATAAAATGGTGAAGGAAGTTACACAGGAGTCTCCTGTTTTGTTCTCCTACAGCAATCTTCCTAGTGCCTTGGACTACAACTCCCATCATTCCTAACAATTGGCCATGCTAGCTGGAGCTGAAGGGCACCAGGCTGAGGAAGCTGACCTATGGCTTCACACAGAAAATTGTTTCATATGGCTTGCTTCACCCTCCAGCCCAAGGAGTCTTCATAAGAGAGATGCTTCCAGATGGGAGAAAGACTTCACGCTGGCCATCAGGCAATGGCTTTTTCCACCTGCCTTGACCACCCTCCATCCTTAAGAGCCTTTCCCAGACCATGACTTTGAAAACAGCAGAAGCACCTGGGAAGAGAGGAGTTCCAGGGTATTTTAAAAATTAATGTTATAATTTTCTGTCCTTGTTTCTCAAATTGATCCTTTTACATGGTTTTGTATGTTTTGTAGCATTTTATGCATCATGATTTGCCATTATTTTTATTGATTACAGTTTAGTAATTCTTAAATTTGATAGTAGTTGTTTATTTTAAAGTTATGTTTTTATTATGACTTTTTTGTATTGGATCAGATTGTTATCAGGTATATGATCTTTGCTGTCTATTTTGTTGTTTATTCAGCTTGTAAACTGCCTTCTGTATAGTAATATAGAAAGGTGGTATACAAATTAAAAGTGAAATGAAATACTGTTATGTTTTCTGCAACTCAAAAGAACCACAAATGAACTGCAAATAGATCTACTATTCTTCCAAAAAAAATTAAAAATCTCTATCAAAGCAATTACATTTTATGCACTGTGCACAGATCACCTTGACTATGGAATTTGGAATACTTTGTGTACATCACTGTATGGAGACAGCATACAAGATTTTTGAAACAAACAACTGTTAATATGGCCTTTTCATTATATGCATTTGATTCCTCATCCCTGATAAAAACAGGAGTTTCATTGACATTTTAGAACAATTTCACTTAAACAGGTTTGTTGCACTACAAAAGAAGTAGAACACATTTTACTATTTAAACAAACCTACCTCTCTTTGGTATTTTGTCTGCATTCTCCAAGGAGTCTACTTTCTTTCCCAGTCTTTCAGCAAGGCTACGTTTTAGGGGGAGACCACTCTCAGAAACTAACAGTAAAAGGAGAAGAAAGAAAGATTATTGTCAGGCTTTTGTTTTTTTGCTTTCAGCTATGCTTGCTACTTTTAGTGGCAATTACATCCACATCAGTCTTACGATGCTGAAAGACACCTTTAGTGAACATTTTGCCTAGAAAGATAGGGCAGAGATATACATACACGTGCACACACACTGTGGCAGTGCAAGAAGCAGATGAGTGGGATAAGAGCTGATACCGGTCTAGTTTTTACACAGCTCTCCACTGAAATGTCAAGAAAAATGAAAATCCTCCTTGCCGCAGATTCTATACCATAAATGGCATATACTTTAATACAGTAATTTAATAAATCATCAAGGTTCAAAAACAAAAAAAATGTACCCATGATCAGAACTTTTGTGCATGTATGCACCTTTGATGGAAAAGTATGGATAAGGCTGATACGTTAATAGAGGAGCAGGGTTTTTTAATTCTACATGCTGGTTCTCACCTGTAGAGGATTTCCGTTTTCCCAATCTTTCTGCAACAGTCAATCGAATCTGAGGCTCTTCACCTGACAAAAATTAAGGTCAAACAACTTTAACAGATGTTTGAAGTAAACCAATTGCTTTAATATGTGTATTAATATGTAGTGGTTTTTTCCATGAAAAACTGTTAAAGCCTCTTGGCTAATAAACAAACAGTATTTGTACAGCAGTTATTTACTTGCAGTAGAACCTGCATTTGACCAGTTGTTAAGTACAGGATAGTTGTTAAGTACAGGATACTCAACTCCTCAATGGGATCCACCCACACAATGGTAAGGTGATATAAAGGCAGACTGCAAGCAAAGATGCCTAGATTCAGATAATTGCTCACTATCACATGTCTTTCACCTTTTGTCAAACAGAGAGGACAGGGTGACCATAGGTGAAAGAGGCAGGAAGATCACACATGACAACCCTCTTGTTAAACAAACAAATAAATGGGATGGCCAGTTTATCCCATTTCTCACTATTCTTAAAGTGATTATAGAAATTGTAAGAATCACTCATTTCATAGCCCCTACCCTCTCCATCACAATGCATTGGCAAAAAAGGGTATAAAAAGACCATTAGATGAAAAGGTTAGCTAGCTCTCCCAGCTCCAATACAACAGAACTTACCCAGCACTTCCTAGGACTCTGCCCCCTACTGCTTCGCTTTAAGGACAGGTATACTTTCCTTTTCCCCTTCCCTTCTTGTGTGGCTTTATGGCAAAATTGTCACCTTGCTTATGTAGGTGTTAGAATAGATAGGGTATTTTCTGCTCTTTAAAGTGTGTTTGTATTGTGATTTGCTACTCGCTTAGACTGTAACTTTGCTATCTAAAGCAGCATTATATATATATTCTGTCACTCCTGATTTATATAATAAACTAAGCTTCCTTTATTTCTATGTGAGGGTTTCTTGTAGGAATAAGATTAAGGATTAACACACATCCATAATAAGTGCACATCTCCAGCAAAAGATCCTAAACCTCTCAGCAGTGTGTATATGAACATACATGAGTACACATCGTAGCATTGATACTAATCGATAAAGAGGAAGGGCATTTCCAGAAATGCCACACCTACCAGAGCTGCTGAATTGAATACAAACAGAATTACACTTACCTGGCTTTGTAGATAAAGTTACAGTTCTGACCACAGTCCGTACATTTTCTTTTTCTGGGCCTGGATGGGTCTGAATCTGAGCAGAAACCTCAGAGGGGTTGTCTGAGAAGAGCAAGACAAAGGTATATTAAGCTGCACTGCCACCACTATTTGGCATTTCATGAATTTGTGGTTGAGATGCAATTTGAATATGAGGCTTCTAAGTTCACACTCTTGGCTACTATACAATGCCAACTGTAATGCATTGGTGCCTTAGGATAAGTCCAATCCAAAATTCTTTTTTTCTTTGAACAATCATCGAACAACCTCCACTAGCCACCACCCCAACACTTAATTGCTGTGATTCAATGGTAGGGCACAAAACTGCTGATTCAACGATCACTGGGACATCCAAGGCTACACATAAAGGTAAAGGGACCCCTGACTGTTGGGTCCAGTCGCAAACAACTGGGGTTGCGGTGCTCATCTCGCTTTATTGGCTAGGGGAGCTGGCGTACAGCTTCCGGGTCATGTGGCCAGCATGACTAAGCCGCTTCTGGTGAACCAGTGCAGCGCACGGAAACGCCATTTACCTTCCCGCTGGAGCAGTACCTATTTATCTACTTGCACTTTGATGTGATTTCGAACTGCTAGGCTGGCAGGCGCAGGGGCTTAGCAACAGGAGCTCACCCCGTCGTGGGGATTCGAACATTAGCATTTGCAAGGCTCTAAGCAAAGGCAAGCAACAGCCCACCCTGGACTTCTAATAATAGACACTGCAACAATGAGGGTGCCCAAATATAATGCTGTGGAATATCCTCACAATTACAAAGGTCAACTCACCACCTTGCTTCTTTGATTTTTCCTTCATTTTTTTTGACTTGATCTCATCAAGGGTTTTGATTCCAAAATTCAAATTATCAACTGCAAAATGTGAAAATTTGAGTAAGTGGATAAGTTTCTCTCAAATACGAAAGCACAGAAAACAAGCTGAAAGTTAGATAACCTGTGAAAATTTATTCCAGGGGTGAGAACCTGTGGCCCTCCAGAGGTTACTGAGCTACATTGCCCATCACATCTGATCATTGTTTGTACATGCTGGCTTAGGATGATGGGAGCGGGAATCAAACATCTGGGGTGCCACAAGCAAACTTGGCAATTTCAATGTTTTTAGCTTTATTTACTCTATACAAGTGTAATCAATATGCTAAATTAGATCAATCTCTGGGGCACCAGCAAATTTTCCGTTGCAAACTGAACATGTTCTGATGCACATTACCCTAAATATGCAGAGGAAATATTTCCAGAAAACTTTCCACAACACTTCCTTAAGAAAAAAAATGTTTGTTGGTTTTTTTTGTTCCCATCTTTCTGCATAGCTCCTATATCCCTTCCACTCTCTATACCCCATCTACCTTCCTGCACCAGCACACTAATGTCCTTCTCTCCAATACTTGCTTTAAAAACAAACAAACGGCATTTACATACTTTGCAAGTCCTCAATTGCAAGAACTGAAATATAAACACACACTGAAGCAAATAAACAATCCAACCCAAATGCTGAATGTAGGTATCCTTGGCCGAAATCCCTTGCTAAGGGTCCACTCAGTTTATTTTGAGCATATTAGTTCCTACCTTTACCTTGTTTTGTGCTACTTGCTGATTTCCGAGTAGAAATTACCCGCAATCCATTAGAAACCTCCGCAGAGGGTTGTTGAACGGGCATTTTAGATTCATCACCTTCTTCCGATAATTGATCTGAAAGAAGTAACATTGCTACTTTGAGTCCATTCCTATTTATTCAGAAGAAAGGCCACTATGTTCAGTGAGACAGCTTCTCAAATGTGCATAAGTCTTAGGCTGCTTTGATTTATACCCATTTACCTGGAAGCAAGCTCCACTGAAATATGTCAGACTTAATTCTGAGTAGGCATGTATAAGGTAGAACTGTGAGTCAAGTAAAACCTCATTTGGATTGTCTCACCTGCTTAGTCAAGTAAGATCTGTACAACATGCAATTAATTAAAAGGTAGGTAGAAGATCTATGATTTGCCAATTAAGTTTTGCTACTCTCAGATGCTATAGGGTGGAAACCTCCCCACTCCATATGCTCCAGAGGATTGGAAGAAGCACCAGTGGAAGAAATGTTTCAAGGTGCTGGGTTGCCATATTTGAAAAAGTGATAATCCAGAGCTTGGGGGGGGGGGGCAAAGTTGTTGAGCTTGGACATTTTTGATCTATTTGTGAGGAACATCGGCAAAAACAACACTGATGGTTGTCGGCAGGCATAAGTCCGGATTTCCCTGGACATTTTGCCAATTTCCGCCCAGACACTGCTTGTGGCTGCAGTATTTGGGGTGTGTTCTGGAAATTCCAGACATATGGCAACCCTAGATAATACCCAATGCCATCACCTGCTTTGATGTATTTATTGTTGTTTTCATCTTGATTTTAATTTACTTTAATTTTTATATAAGTTGTTAGGCACTCTGAGGATCTGCAGGATGAGGTGGGGTATACACTGAAGCAATGACTGCATTAATGATATGCACTGAAACAACGGAGAAGCATCATGCTTTAGGGAACCATATTTTGCTCACCATCATCATCTTCATCATCATCTGCAGCATTGATAACAACTGGTGGATGAGTGGGGCTTGGTACATTTTCAGAACTTTCCACCTTCATTACCCCACGCAGCTGAGGAGATGGATTGGACTGAACAGAAAGTTTATTCTGCTGCAATGAAATCTGTGTAGCCTTCATCTCCTCTTCCGTAGGTTCAGGCACGTTTAGAACAGCTTTAAACAAAAATGCACAAGAATCTATAAACTACAAGCTGAAAACCATTATCAATACTATAGATAGGTATCTGTTCCATCATGTGTAAAATCTCTCCAGTAATATCAAAATCATTCTGCAAAGGATTGTGACCAATATTAATATAATAATTTTATTGATACTTAAATTTGGAAAAAAATCTCCAGTAAGTTTTCATCTTGCTTACACACACATCTACGCTAAAGACCATTCTTGTGGATCAGATCTAGCATTCTGAAACACTGGTCACCTAATGCTTCTAGGAAGTTAACCATAAAGAAATGATGGTGAAAATATTTGCCCTGTTGTATGTTAAATACAAACAAGTCAGCTATTTGTCTCAAAGAGTTTCCTAGGTGGTTATAGCAATTTAAACAGGGAGAGGAAGGGCTGCAGGGTTGTGGTTAAAGTTATGTAAATCACTTTTCAGAGTGCTGTGTTCACACGGATGTCTTCAAGCTGCTAGTAGGACAAGTGTGGGGAACCTCTGGCCCTCCAGATGTTGCTGAACTACAATTCCCATCAGCCCCAGCAGGCGTAGCAAAAGGCCAGGGAAGTGAGTTTCATTCCAGCAACATAAGGAGGGTCAAAGGTTCCTCACACCTTCGGTAGTATTTGGGTTAACAACAACAAAAACAATGTTGTGAAGCATCCACCTTTGTGCAATAAAGAACGTGTCCCTGCATAACCTTTATCTACTGTATTGCTGCTGGATTTTTTTGATGCACTGCTGGGGGGAAAAGTCAGGCAAGTACGGCTTTCCTTACAGCACCTACAGAAATGTGGAAGTCTGAAGAAAGAATGCAAGATCTTTTGTAGATAGGTAGGGGTAAAGAGATATGCCAAAAGGTGAAATTACAACTCACTCTTGCTTGGAGGTAAGAAAAGCCCATCCACAAAACGTCCCTTGTTGTGGTGGAATGCACAGTTCATCTTCTGACAGCCCACTGGCTGATTCTCCCAAAAGCATGGGATCTCACTGCGTTTTTTCTGAAGACAAAACATAGGCAATAAGTGTACACTAGGAACAACCTGCAAGTCCACAACGTAAGTTATTAACACACTGAGATGGTATCAGCAACATAACCCTTACAGCCTATAATTCATCAGGAGAAGAACTGATAATGCAAATATTATTTCCCATTTCGTTTAGGACAGGCAGTCATCTGTGAAGAGACTACTTAATCACAATGGCCAGGATCCAAAGGGCTGCAGTGTTCGAAATGCCCATTGTTCTAGGCACATTTTGCAACAGGGAATTTCATTAACACGAGCAGTTTCTGAGCTCTGGGCGCAGATTTCAAATTAAGACTGCACAGTGGAAGGAAAGGGGGACCCTTTTCTGCCTCCCCACTTCCAACCACTTTCTGAAGACTGGAGAAGAGACTGTCTTAAGAATATTAGCAGGGTGGGCAGGGGAAGCATGGCTTTGTTTTTTGCAGTCTTCAGGTGAGGACTAGATCATGTGAAAAATGAACATAAGATTTTAGCTGCAGTTCATTCATTTTCAACTTTGTATTGTTATTAAAAAAGCATGCCTAGACATTCCGTTGTTGTGCCTGTAACCTAGGTTTAAGGTGCCATTTAGCTCCTAGTTTTCATATCTCAATTTCTAACACTGGCTGCATGTGGAGTTGCATTCATGTAAACAAGCTGTGCCAGCAACCTCTCTCTCATACCCTTAAAAGCAGCCCTTCTGGGAAATACATGTTGTACAGATAAATGCAATGTAGCATAAGAGATGAAGCAGAGGAGAGATTGAGCAACACACATACAGTGCATATGTGAAACTGCTTTTCACTCACCCATAGGCTTTTTGGATCCTGGCCCATTATTACATTTCAGTTCTACCTTCCTATATCCTACATGATATCTTCTTTTCCTTCCAAATCCTACTGCCTGCCACACCTTTTGATAAGATAGACTAACTTTATGTTTACCCCACTATTGTTTAAGAATAGGGAATTACAGACCCTTTTGGTATGCACTGTTAAAAACAATCATTGTTAAAAACCAAATAGCATGTGCTGCACTTCCATTTTTTATAGCCTTAGGGTAGGTCCTGCTATCACATTTCTTGTCCACACAGGTCACCCTGTATCTTCCCAAATACATTCTCATGTGTGCATAGTATGCAAACAAGGTAATGGGTTACTGGCAGAAATAACTGTGGGACACTAATTGCGGCCTAAATGCATTACATTTCTACAAGCTAGCTCTTACTATGAAAAAGCTAGGACAACTCACATGGTGGACAAGGGAAAATATCTAAAACAGAGTTAACATGTTTCTTCTCTCATTTTTGTAGCTTTACTGTAAAAACACACAGTCCCCATATAATAAACCAACCCAAATAATAGCACCCCAAATTCAAATCAAGCTGGAAAGGTGCTTAGAGACTAAGAAACTCATGCTGGTAGTCTAAACATGGGAATCTCAAACTACTATGAACAGTTTCTTCATTTATAAGTGTATGTGTGTAGATATATTTTTTCAAAGCAAGGCAGAAGTTACCAAAATAACCTTGCAAACTTAAACTTAACAAACTAACTTGATAGCTCTAAATCATGCCTATGTCTTTATAGTTTTTAGGAAAATGTTCTATGCAAAAAACACTACACTTCAACAATGCACACAGTGTCTGTATTACAGACCCAGATATCAAGAGTAATCACACTGCTAGACTATATATTGAGACAATACTTACATCAATCTCCATGTGTCTAAATCGACAGACACTTCTGAAACATCGCTGCTCTTGCCAAAGCACACACACAGTTTCATTCCCCAGAGCAGCTTCACAGTGACGGAAGGGGCAACTGTCACCCTGGAGAATGAAATATGGTCTTGGTAAGCAATACATACATTAAAAATCAGACTAATATAACCAAGGTTTCATTGAACTGCACAAAAGCAACTTTAAAGGTTTTACTACAACTTTGCATACTCCTCTTCCTGGCTACCAATAAAGTCACTAAAGGAAGGGACGGATGCCTTGGCTGGAGTCTATTGGGTGTATCAGGTTACATTATACTTATAATACTGCAAGCATGAATAAAGAAGACTAGAGGACAGGGGAAATACAAACCTTGGTACATGTGGAGTAGAAATAAAAGTAACAATCATCTCCTTGGTTAGACATATTCGGCTGAATCTTTATTGTCAGCTTATGTTGGAGAGACTGGTGGCTGAACAGAGGTTTAATATTCTCTCAGTGATGGCTGATCAGTTTAGTTTAACTGGCAAAACCGTCTATAGGTTGGATTTACTGGTATCTTCTTTAAAATATAATCTTGGAAAAAGATGAAGGAAAATAAAAAGAAACATTCATGTTACAAATCACAAGCTTTGCTACTCTTTTTTATTTCAATGGCACATAATAAGTTCTAATCCCCAGTAGGTTAGGTAAACACATTCTACTTTTATATATGTTATGAAAACTGGTTCCCAGTTTAAAAACAAACCACATAAATCTGTTTACACTCTAATTTCCTGACATCCAATTTCTTTACATCATAATAAGAAACACTAAAGAGGGGGTAGCCAACATGGTGTCCTGCAGATGTTGGACTACGACTCCCATTAACCTCTGGACAATGGTGAGGGACAAGAAGATCTGTTGTCCAGCAATATCAGGAGGGCAAAATCCAGAAATATAGAAGTTTCATATTTGGCAACAAGCAGACAACACACATTTAATATTTTGGGAAGTTCAATTCCTATACCACCACCAATTCTTTGCTGACTTAAAACAGATGGATGAGGTGAACTGACAAGAGGGGATGCTGAGATTGGGACATGCGCCAAGTTGAATAATTAGAACAACATTTGCATATTCTATTGCAGAAACCTTGGCCACTGGGTGAAAACTACTGCCAGCTAGTCATTTTGATAACCCTTCAAATTTTAGCAAGTGCTAAGATATATCTTAAGCACCTGTTGAATTACAGTTCACACACTAAACCTTCCCAAATGAATACATTTTTCACTGAGATACCTTGGTAGGTTCAGCATGCAACTCTGTCTTCAAAGACTTCCAGTTATTTTTCTCCTGTAGGTCGAATCAACACTCAATCCATGAAATGATAATAACGGGATAGAAAGACTTTTCTTCCTCACATTTCCAAGGAACACATCTCATTCTCATTCAAAATTCAGACAGGGTGAATTACAACTACTGGAGAAAGCAAGTCCATTTGAACGGTCAGGAAGACTGGAGATAGTGAAGGTTAATTGCCTCTTCAAAATAAATTGTTCATTTAAAGATGAACTTGTGTTTCAAACTGGCTGCAAAGAAGATCCATCTTCCACAGCCGGAAAATTTTAATTTTTTTTTAATTAAAACACATTTTTCAATTTCTGGTCTTCAAGATTTCTTCCACCTATTGGAAAAAAGGAAAAATCTTCCCCGCTCTTTATTAAACTGTATAGTTAAAAAAAAAATACTTGTATGTATAAACACAGATATGTATATACACATAAGTATCCTTAAATACATTTGTGTTTATACATGCAACAATGTATATACAAGCATGGTAGTTAAATTTAAAGATTGAAATTTTGCAACAGAATGTTTCGAATTTGGGGAACTAAAAATAAATTGCCATACAAATTTCAGGCCAATAGTTTCCCACATAAGAACACAAATAGGTATATAGACGTAGGGTGTACACATGATGTATCGAGTATTAAGACCGATTTTCAGACAAATTGGGATCCAATTAATTTTTATGCAGAAACTAACTGCATGATGCAGTTTTAAAAGCAACAGGCTTAGTACTACAAAATCAAGGCAACTGTTTGATTTTGCTGTCAAAATGTCAAATTTGTTTTGTTTTTTCTGTACCTAATTTTGCTCAGTCCCCCATACATCACTGCAAAGATACACCATAAGTCACTGTTTTTCAGTGATAAGGTTGAAAGGATGCAGCAGGTCCAGCATCTTAGCAACCAATGCATCTTCAGTCACAAAGTGACCCAAAAGAAAAGAAATTGTTGATCCCTCTTTCAATGCCATTTTGAGTATATATTCCTTCTTTCAAATTGAAGAGTGAAATGTAGGAATCTTTTATTCACACAAATGCTAACATATTTTGGGGGGTAATTTTTGGCATGGTATTTCACCCGACTCTAAAATAGAAAAAGAAGTAGTAGTCCATGATCAATTTTACACAAGGGAAAATTATATATATAACTACAACAATTAATTTTCATTATTATATTCTCTTCCCACCCAGTTTTTTTTATTTATTCAAACTTGATTTGCTTGCACTAAATGATATTGGTGCTTCACATGATCAATTCTGCGAGGAGAAAGATTCTGACAAATGCACAAAACCTCTCTTTGCCATAATCAGCCCACATTTAGTGGCAACCAAACTATCCCTTTGGGGGGAAATTGCGCAAATACACGCATTATAAGCAGCAAATTAACTTTAGGTATTTCCTTTCTGTAGCCTTTTATTTTTATTTTTGCATACACAATCCCTGAACACAAAGTTCATTTCTGTACATACTACCTTAAGGCACACACACAAAAATTGGTTAATTAAACTGCCTATCCCAATTTAAGTACATGTTATAAAGCAGTTTGTATATTATCTGCCATGGTTTAAGAACATACTGCACATCCAGCTCTGAGAACGATTATTAACTTCACTCAATATTACACTGTTTTAATATATAGGTGAAATCCAAGAACTGTTGGTGTCTTTCACCAATATATAAAAACCAACAATTTTTAAAAAGCAAATAAGAAAAGGTGATTGTTTTTCCATCCCCCCTCCAGTAAAAATAATGGGCATAGCTCTGATAGTAGGAATAGTACTTGAAAGCCAGATTCTCATAATGATGCTGACATCCTTGATAAAGCTGAGCAGTTTTGTGTTCAAATCGTACAAAAGCTTTCCAAAAGTCAACTGATGGTGGGCTAACTTTTGAGCTTATGTGAGAAAAAATGCAGTAGAATCACAGAACTGTAGAGCTGGATCATCCCCTGCAATACTCCCTTCTAGGAATGTAAGCTGAAAGGTTTAGGCACAGGAACAGAAACTTTCATATTCTAATTTCTGTTCATACAGTGTCTCCCTCACTCTGATTATCAAGCATACAGTTAACATCCCTGTCTCATTGCACGTATTGAGAGTATATGTTCACAAGACACTTTGAAGGTCAAAAACCAGCTAGTGCTAATGATGGATAGCAAAGAGCAGCATTTTCATATGCACTTCAAATTGTCTTGAAGCACACAACACAGATTTTATTCACTGTTCTCTTAAGCACCTCTCCATTTCATTGCAGTGAGTAAGCACCATGCATGCCAAAGCCAAATGCCTGAATGAATATAAGTATATAAAGGAGCCATTTCCATATTGTCATTGTCAAATTCTGAAATGAGCTTATGTTCAGAGGTCAAGAAATTTGTTGCTCTGACATTCTGACAGCAAGGTAGAAGAATGGCAGTTGAGGTAATTTATGACCACTTGGGCCAATGCCCACCAATTTCTCAGCTTCCCCTATCAACCTATGGGTTTTTGTTAACTAAGCCACTTTAAATCTGTCCTTCGATACTATGATCTTTTTGCATGTTTTGAAAGGCACATGAATAGGGTAAGCACCTCTAACTACAATAGCTTTAGGTAGTTATAATAGCTTTAGGAAGTACAATTACTGTACTTCCTAGTTTTGCTATTTTTCAGTGTACCTACTGAATTGCAATGCCAGAGAGTTCTGTTACATCAATAGCACTAAAAATGGCAGGTCTTGGCTTTATTTTATTTCATTTAAATAACAAACAAACAACCCACTATTATTGAAAATCCCTAAACTGCCATCTGTGCCAGACTCTGCACTGGGAGGAAACAATGTACTCTTCGGTATTAAAGCTGCTGCATCTTCTCGTATCAGAAAGACTGGGGAAATTAACACACTAAATTAGTAGCTGCTCAACGCACAGAAAAACTTTATCACAATTATTATAGCTAATTCAGTTGCAAAGGGTCTGCAGTGGGAAGAACCAGTACCTAGTTTCAAACTGGATATACTGCAGATATTTTGGTTACAAAATGTATTTTATGTCCTCTGCAACCATTGATCACCCTCATCTTCATTAAAGTAGTCGTCTCTATGCTGCCTAGCAATAGTATGCAATGGCAGTTCTATTTTTCATTGTGTTTTAAATTGATTATCCTATGACATTATATTCCTAAAACATACTAGATGCACAGCTCAATCTTGGAGTGCAGCATGCACCAATGACAACAATCTGTTTTGGAAAAGAACCTCAAATGCCACCAGCTAAATGCCATGATAATCAGAGACTCTTTTTTTGTCAACCAGAATTACTGTACTTCCTAGTTTTGCTATTTTTCAGTGTACCTACTGAATTGCAATGCCAGAGAGTTCTGTAACATCAATAGCACTAAAAATGGCAGGTCTTGGCTTTATTTTATTTCATTTAAAAAACAAACAAACAACCCACTATTATTGAAAATCCCGCACTGTGGGATTTCCTTTGCCCTAGTTTCCCCATCTTTGGGATTAGGCCAGTTAATCCAAATGCCCTTTCCTAGATGGTCGCAAGGATCTGGGAGACTGGGAGGGAAAACCGAATTATCTAAACAAATCTTAAAGAGCAGGAAAACAATCGCTGTGGGAGGGCCGGGAAATAAATAAATAAATAAAGCGGGGCCGTACGGACGCCATTTATATGAAACGCAAAAGGAAGCAGAAAATGGAGTTAATTTAGGGGCAACCATAGATAAGATAAAATAAATATAATGAAGCTGTCGCAGTCTCGGATTGGGACTGGGAACGGGCCGTTTATCAAAAGGAAGAGCGTAAATTTGAAAACAAAGAGGCCCTAGGCGGCGGGCCTACGGAGAGCCGCCTCGGCCCGGGAAACCCAGGGAATCCTATACGAAGCGGCCTTTATACCTATATCGGTTGCTGAGGGAGGGGGACCCCGGCCCCTTGTCACCCGCGCGCAGGGACTTTACCGAACCCCGAGAAGAAGCCGCTGTCGAAGTCGGGACAAGAGTCCTCCAGTCACCTTCTCTCGTCTTCTTCTTCTGGACGGCAGACGGAACTCGATGCGTCTACTTCAGCAACACCGCTGCCCTCCTCTAAGATGGCGCCTCTCACCAGGTTCGGCCGACCCTGCCCGCAAGCGTCATGGCGGACGGGGAGGAAGAGGGCGGGGACGCCTGCGCGATTGGGCGATCACGCGGGCGCCGCTCTCTCAGCCTCGCTATTGTGATGCAAAAAACGAACGGCTGTCGCTTAGCTTCCTGCCCGCGCCGGAAGTTCTCTTAGCTACGTCGGTGCAGCGTCGGCCCGCGCGCGTGCGAGGGAGAAAGCGAGGAGTGAGAGGAGTTGACCGTTGGCTGCCCCGTCCCGCCTAAGTCGGCTCGTCCTGTCGGGAGTAGTTCCCAGCCCAGCTGCCGGCCATGGCGTACCGCGGGCAAGGCCAGAAGGTGCAGAAAGTGATGGTGCAGCCCATCGTATCCTTCCGTGGCTTTCGGGAAGCGAAGCAGGCCCGGCGTGGGAAGGGGATGGTAACGGGCGGGGGGGAGCGAAGCAATGGTGCCCAAGGAAGGTGTCCTGAGATTCGTAGGGCGGGGGGTAGTTAAGGGGGTTTGAAGGGGCGAGGAGAGAAGCAGGCGCTTGGTTTCCCGTGAGGAAATTTTCGGTGCAGGAGTGGCGGGAAGACATTGATTTGTGTCGCGTAGCTTGTGCAGGTCGTTGGCCCGGGAGACTTGGGTTCAAATCCCCAGTTGTTTCCAGTCAGCAGTAAAAATGGACCGGTTCCACGCTCTCAAGCTAGTCCACCTCACAGTGTTTTGGGGAGTGGTGTTGAACAATGTGGGCAGCCTTGAAATCCTCTTGAGTAATAGTAATAATAATGCATGCGCCGTATGTAGCGACGCCACACATGCGCTGTTGTGGGTAGCCTTGAAATCCTCTTTAATAATAACAACAACAACAATAATTAATAAACAACTTAATAAAAATTTATTATTTATACCCCGTTCATCTGGAAAGGGAGAAGGGCAGAATATAAATGCTGGCAAACAGACTAGACTTGTGGGGAGTGGATAAAATGCGTCTGAAATTCGACCCAGAAAGCAGCCAAATGTTCAAAAGGATCTTCCAAAGTAAATTGGAATGGTTTTGATTAGAAACGACAAGGCATATTAATTCGGAGTTGCTAACCTGTTTGCCTCAATATATGTTGAAAAGTGGAGGTGGCGGTTCTAATGCCACTGTCAAAAACTGGCTCGCTTGGTGCTGCTTTATGTATGTATATGTGTTTTTCCTTAAGCCACTTGTTGCAGAACCTCATCTTCAGATACCTACAGAATGTAAGTAAACACAATTTGGGATTTTTACTCCTTAATAATGAATTTGAACAAGTAGTGATATTCAGTATAACTTGTGGATGAAGAGCAAATGGCCAGGAGATCTGGAATTTTTTATTGTGTTATAAAATCATAGTCAGGATGTGCTATTTTGCTTTATTGGAGGGGAGCGTATATTGTCTGTATTACAAGGGCTTGGTGTGAACTTTTAAAACGAATGTGGCAGGCAAACCTTTACCTCACTTTCCTGCTGTTCAGTGTTAGAAACTGAGATGTGAAAGCTAGGAGCTAAATGGCACCTTGAAACCTAGGTTATGTCCTAATTTGAACATTGACCATCCATTTCCATGGCCTCTGTTTATGGCATTTTAACTACACTGTAGAATTGAGTAGCTTTAAAAAAGACCAGTGCCTATGTAATTGGGTCTTTAAAAACTGATGTTTCGTCACTATGCCTAGAAACACTGCAACATGTATAAAGTATTACCTAGGCTCTAGGAAGTTTATGCCGTATTATAAAATGTCTTGAGAAACCTTTTTGTCTTGAATAAACCATAAACATTTCAAACAAAGTATGATGTTGTGTAGTGCTTCAGTACTTCAAAAACATGGTTTGGATTAAGACATCCATACATTTTGGATTGGCTTGGTACGAATCCATGATTCAGGTTCACACCTTCTGAATATGCACAGGATGTGTGTTTAATGTCATGCTGGGTTTTGGAATTTATACCTTTTCCAAAGCCAAGTATGATTTGGCAGCCCTTTGTTCTTCATGTGAAAGCCATGGATATCTTCAATAGGCAACTGAATTTGTGAAAGCCTCTTTGGAACCATTATAAATACTTCCTTTACTATTTACTTTGCAGAGGTCCAGAATTCAGGTGTGGCTGTATGAACAGGTGAACATGAGGATAGAAGGCTGTATTATTGTGAGTATTGCCATCACTGTTTCTCTCTTTTCTTTCTTCACACCCACCCACACTATCAGAAGCAAACCACCCAGAAAATGATTCCTGCTTAATTAAATTTCAAGTAACTTTAGCTTCTTCACCTACTAACATGAAGCATGTGGTATTGTAAATGATCGTGCCTTTGCATGATTCACAAGGTTGTATAATTGTGCTTACCTCTCTTGCCATGGCAAGTTCATTTGGTATCACATTTAAATGCCAGGTTAAAGCTATTTTATGTGGTTATAGGGCAGTTTATAAATTCAATTAATAATGACAACAATAACTGAAAACTGTTTTACATTTTTAATGCTGCTTCTGAGTTATATAGTTTATTAATTTTACGCTGCTCATTTTATGATTTTAAATTTTTTACTTTCTATTTGTAACAGCATTTTTATGCCCTCATTACAGTATCTGTCAAGACACAGTAAAAGTTAAGATGGTGAAGCAATAAAACAAATTTAAAATAAAATAAATAAAATGTAACTGAAGACCCAAAGAGCACAATTAATTCCTGACATTGTCAGAAAAGTCTTGCATGTCCAGCATTGAACTTTTATTTTAGTTTAATTGTGTCTTGATTTGGAGGTTTGTGTCATTGTTTTGGCAAATTGGGTTATGCACTTTTTTATATAAAATCAGGCAACGTGATGATGTTAACAAGCTGTCTGAATTCACTACTGGGATATATCGCTTTATTTCCTACCTTATCATGTGTTCTGCTTTCCTTAAAACAATGTGAAGTCATAGGCAACTATTTTGGCTTACACAGGGATTTGATGAATATATGAACTTGGTTCTGGATGATGCTGAGGAGATTCACTCCAAGACAAAATCAAGGAAACAGCTGGGTGAGTGTTGAGGACACCATTCCCTTTTGTCATTAGCAAATGCAATTGTACTTTCCATGTTTTCCATGAAAAACCTATTTGAAGGTTACATCTAGTGCAGATGTTCCCTTCCAGATGGGTTTTAGCCACTGGGCTTTCACTGCCCTGCTGTGCCTAGATCTTTATTGCTTTTCTGCAAATTTCCTAGTGGGCTGGATTTCAACCACTAAGTATGAAAAAGAGCTGACTGTTGCCTGTCAAATGGGCATGTTCTTTCTCCAGTGTCCAATTATGATCTTAACAAGTGGTAAAGAATTACCTTTTAATACTACTGTGAAACTGCTATGAACATTTTTATTAAAGGGTAGTAGAAAAATAACATGAAAAGGAAGAATGGCTGCTTTTTTATCTGTAAATATTACCTACTCTAAGTCTTATTATATTTGCAGTTCATCTTCTCCTAGGATGTTACTTGAATGTTTTTGGATAGCAAATTAATGCTACAATTGAGGGCATGAAAGAGTTAGGCCATAGAAAGGGAAAAGAGAAAGGGTTAATGCTGTACAGTACTGTACTTTGCCACCCTTGCCAATATTTTTAGTACCGATTATACAGTTTAGATCGGCCTTTCTCAACCTTTGGTCCCCAGGTGTTGTTGGAATACAACTCGCGTCATCACTGATGACTGGTCATGCTTGCTAGGAATTGTGGGAGTTGTAGTCCAAAAACATTGGGGGACCCAAGGTTGAGAAAGACTGGTGTAGATAAATGACGAATGTAACTGAAGTGGGTCAGTTGGTAGAGCATGTCACTCTTAATCTCAGGGTCACAAGTTCGAGCTCCACATTGTGCAGCCTGCATTGCAGGGAATTGGACTAGATGGCCCTTGTGGCCCCTTCCAATGCTACGATTCTGTGAACTGAAAACTGGATTTAAGATGTTAGTAGAAAAGGGGTATAATGTTGTCAGAAAGGGGGCATCTTTTTTACTCCCATAGATCTAATGGCACTTTTTTTTCATTGCAGGTCGAATCATGTTAAAAGGAGACAATATTACTCTTCTACAGAGTGTTTCTAACTAGAAATAGTTATTGAGTCTGTTTTGCTTATTATTTTAATCTTTAAAACCTATAGAAGAAAACATGCAGTGGTTTAATGGTATCACTCCCAATTCTACCGTTGGTGTCTGAAGTGTGAAGAATGAAGCCAGTTACTTAATTTGTGCTTGCATAATTTTCAATAACTTTTCTACATTTGTGTTGAATTGTAGTTCTTTATAAATAAAACTTTTTGTTAGTACATCTTTGTTACTTATTATCCATAGCACCTGGTGTAGAAATCTTAAAAGTTCTATAATGATACAGGAGAAAACAAACTGTTCAGCCCAAATTACAATGTTACCTTAGCAATAAACTTTTCATTAGAAGATACTGGCGACTTTCCCATCAACATTTGGGAGTGTCTTTTCTGATTGGCTCCCTTAATTTAGTCATCTTCCCCTGGTGAAAATCTCTTCTCCTGCTGTTCCTTCATTTCTCAGGCAAGTATAGAGTACACCCCACTCTGTTTCCCTATTTTAAAAAAGATGTCTTGTTCTTGTGGGTAGGTTGTGTTACGAGTTTGGCGGGTTAGGTGATGTGCCAAGACCCTTCTAGTTCCTGGATCTAGCAGGGATTCAAATTGCTGAATTAGCCAGACAAGGGCCATAAAGGCCCTAAGTATGGATCCTTAAGGCAACAGAGGAAGTCACTCTGTGCCAGAGGGTAAATGGGTGGGCCGGCCACCCTCAGCTGTCTGGTAATTAGAAAGACAAAGGGCAGAGTTGAGGTTTGTGAGCTAGAAGCTAAAAGAATACAGATGCCAGAGAGAGTGCTATGCATGATTTCTGCTGGAATCCAAGGCTGTGGCCATAGGAGAAGCAAGATCCTCTTCAGGTATTAATCCTGTGAACCCCTCCATTGTAGGTTCAGGTTGCATATATGTGTAAATAAACCATATATCATAAAAACACCACAGTCTCCACTTTGCATCATTCCAAAGGAAACAAACCCTGGGCAAGCACCTAGAACCGCTGCAAACTGCTCAGAGATTTGGATGGTGTGCAACTATCAATATGAAGCCACTGAGAGCAATTCATTTAGAACTCTGATTCCCAGTTGGTGGTCTGACGACCTATGGGGTAACCCATCCAGGGGTTCCATGGCACCATTCACAAAGCAAAAACTACCATAAAAGGTAAAGGACCCCTGACCATTAGGTCCAGTCGTGGATGACTCTGGGGTTGCAGCGCTCATTACGCTTTATTGGCTGAGGGAGCTGGCGTACAGCTTCCAGGTCATGTGGCCAGCATGACCAGGTCATCTGGCAAAACCAGAGCAGCGCACGGAAATGCCGTTTACCTTCCCACCGGAGCGGTACCTATTTACTTGCACTATGGCGTGCTTTCGAACTGCTAGGTTGGCAGGAACTGGGACCGAACAACGGGAGCTCACCCCGTTGTGGGGATTCGAAACACCGACCTTCCGATCGGCAAGCCCAAGGCTCAGTGGTTTACACCACAGTGCCACCCGCCTCCTGTAAAAACTACCATAGAAATACCAAATTTTGAAAATAAGGGGTCCATGGCTTGACCTTTGAAAAATGGGGTCCATATTCCTTAGCTAGTTGGGAACCACTGAATTTAGAAAATCTGAGGCACAGTGCCTTTAATATGCTGGCGACACTCAGCTGTATTTGTCCATAGCATCTGACTCGAGAAAAAGTGGGCTAGATGAGGGTCTATAAACGTAGGCTGAATTCTGCTAAGATGAAGACTTAGTAGGTGAACTGTTCCCAGGCCTGGGAGTTAGGGGCTGCACTCCTGAAGGAATATGTGTATAGTTTGGGGACGCTCCTTTGATACATCTCTGTCACTGGTGACCCCTGTGGTGAACAGCACCTGTTACCAGCTTTGGCTGGTATGCCAGCTACACCCTTTCTTGGACAAGGATAGCTTAGCCACTATGATTCATGCATTTCTAACCTCATGATTAGACTAGTGTCATGTGCCCTTTTGGGGCCTTGCCTTGGAATTGGTCCAGAAGCTGTGGCTGGTGCAGAAGACTGCGGCCAGGTTGAGTGAAGTACCTGGATGTGCACATACTACACCTGTGCCAAGGGAACAGTGTCACCTGTAAGTCAGCTCCCAGGCCATGTTCAAGGTGGTGTTAACATAGAAAGCCCTGAACAACTTGAGACCAGGTTACCTGAAAATTCACCTGCCTGTGTACAGATAGGCTGGATCATCTGGGGAAATTCTGCTTGTTGCGCAATATATAGGGCAGTGACACAGTAACCTGAAAACACATTCTACTAGAATCATGGAAGTGTATGACACATTGTTTTTTAGACTACACTGCCTAGAGATTTTTTGAAATATTAAGCAGTATATGATTTTAAATGATAAATAATAAAATTCATTATTTGCTGTGGCTGCACGATTGTAAATTACTCATTCACTGCTGGCTGCATTGTTTCACGTTTTCAGCAGCCAAAACAGTGCAGCCACCAGTAGAAATAAACAATAGAAAGAATCACCTAATGGTTACATTGGTCAGAAAATTAAATGTATTTGTGGGAGGTTTGGCTGTAGGGAAGATGGGCTTTAAAGGACTTCGATTTTGAGAAAACTCAGTTAAAAATAAAATACAAATAGAATAAGTTTAAGGAGGATTAAGGAAGGGACTTGAGATGCTGATTAGGTATTTCTTAACTTGATGTCTGTAAATCAATTACAGAAAGTATCTTAAATGCTGAGCGATTAAAAGAACACCATGCTTTTCTCAGCATTTATCTCTTCTTGTTTCTTGCTTGTTAATTCCTCCATTGTTCTGATGTTATCAGAATCAATGCTCTATCTTCATGTTAATTTGTACAAGGAAGGAAGTGTAGTCTAATCAGCTCGATTGTGAAGCCCCTTTTGTGTTGACACTAGCTGTATGGACAGTAAATTGTATAGAAAATTGGTGCTGCAATTAATTGTAAGGAAAGGTCCTGACTGATGTCTGGATAACCAGGCTGGCGTGCACTCAATATCTGAATGCTCTAGGAAGGAAGATACACGGACCCAGAAGTGGGAAAACTCTGTGGGGCTGCCCAGCTGTCACCTGACATCCTAGGACATCAGGTGACAGAAACTTCAAAGGAAGAAGAGTGTTGACAAGCACTGCTGACCATCCTTCCAAGAATGAAATTGGGTGTTTATTCCGAAGAAATGCATTGTAACCACAACCTTGATGCGGAAAGTAGTGTCAGTCTTGGACAGCAGAGGGCATAGCTGCACTTGGCAAAACCAGCCTGTTCTCATATAAAGAGCCAGAATCCTCTGCTTGGAGCATGCTTCTTCCAGCATTGGTTTTTTGCTGCTTTATTGGCTCCACAGCAACCTGGAAGGAAGATGAATTTGAGTTGCAGAGTATAAGGCTCTTCTGACCACTGCAGTAGCAAAAGAGCATGCCTGCCTTTCTAATCATTGTTCTGCAATCTCTGACATTGCTGTATCCTGAAAGATTCCTGTTGCTAAGGAGGAGGAGGAAGAGGCTCTCCTAAGTGACAGCAAGAACAAATAAGGTAAATTCCAACTTTTTTTTATTAAAAAGCAACAACCTGTGTCTGCTTGGCTTTCTGCTTCACTGAAGCCTGTTGTGTTTGCTTTGCAACTTGTTCCATAACATGTTAGGCCTGTATTTCAATTGCACAGAAGCTAGAATTGTTAGGACTGCTGATCTCGGGTACCTCAAACTCCGTGAGGTACTGCAGTCTCTTCACAGCATGGCATTGTGTCAGAAACCTTTGATAAGAACACATTTTAAAGATGCTTGCAGAAGTTGCCGAATCGCAATTTGCATTATGATGTTGTGTCTGTTGATTTAAGCAGAGTCTGTCGTGCCCAACGGAAGGATGAGGAAAATGTGCTGCATACTCAATATTGCTTTATTTACAGTTCAAAGCTGGTATATTACAGAAAGACATCTTGCCTCTGCAAGAGCAGAAAAATGCATCCTCTCTCCTCAGCAGCTCGGAGAGAAAACACACAGTGAAAAAACAGGAAACCAGTGTACGTCACATCCAGTCTCCCTTTCCCGTGAGAAACTCCAACAGTACAGACTGTGGAATGTAAACACCTGTCTCATGACAGCAGTTGCTGCACAGTGAAGGAAATAGAAACCAACATCCTCCCCCTTTCTGTGAACATCACTGGGCAGCGTGTTCGTACAGTATCAGTACAAACCCAACTTCTGCACATAGGTACAGTGTTGATCCCTCGATACAATCTTGGACAATACATCAGCAGGAATTTCATTACCTGGCATATAGGACACCGTTACGAGTCCCTTCTGAATACATTCCCTAGCATGCTGCAACTTTAATTGCAAGTGCTTTGTGCTTTGCTTACAACCTTCAGACTTCAGCAAAGCCAAACATGCTTTGTTGTCCTGGTAAACCTGGATTGGACATTTGACAGGAATTTTCATATCTTTGCACAATTGTACTAACCATTCACAATCCTTAAGTGAATAAGACAGTGCATTCAGTTCAGCTTCACAAGTACTTAAGCTAACTGTTGTTTGCTTCTTGCATGACCAATCAAACAGACTCTGATTGTACATGTAGCAAACTCCAGACGTACTTTTCCTGTCTGTAGTGTCACTTCCAAAACTTGCATCTGCAAATATCTCAAGACCACCAGACTTCTGATTGTTAAATCTCAGTCTGTAATGCATAGTGCCTTTCAAATACCGCGCTATGCGTTTCAGAGCTTTCCAATCCTTGACACTAGGATTGTTGACTTGTCTGCTTAGCAAATTACAGCTAACAGCAATGTCTGGTCTTGAACATCTGGCAATGAAGTTTAGCTTGCCTAGCACACTCCTGTACAGTGTAGTGTCAGAAAATGCTTCTTCAGTGTCATCTACCTGATAACCTGTTGTCATCGGTGTGTCTACAGGGTTAGCATCCATCAGATTTAGTTTGCTTAACACATCAGCAATTTTCCGTGACTGGTGTACTAGAATGTTACCATCTTGATCTCTCTCTATTTCCAGAGATAGGTAGTTGTTTACCTCACCAAGATCTTTCATGTCAAAGTGCTCTTTCAGTTGAGCTAGGGCGCTATTGTACATTGCGACATCTTTCCAAAAGAATAATAAATCATCAACATAAAACAAACAGTACAGTTTCTTTTGCCCCTCCTCTTTGACAAATACACATGGATCAGCTTTCCCTTGCTGAAAACCTAGAGAAAACAATACTTCAGTGAGTTTTGTGTGCCAACACCGTGCACTTTGTTTGAGACCATAAAGGGATTTCTTCAGAGCACAAACAAATCCCTGTTTTACCTGTACGCCATCAGGTGGAAGCATATAAAGTGATTCATCTAGAGATCCGTACAGAAAAGCTGTATTAATATCATGGTGACTAATGTGGATTTTCCTCTGCAGCTAGCTTGAGCATAAGCCTAATGCTTTCATATCTCACTGTGGGTGAATAGGTCTCGTGATAGTCTTGACCTGGTACCTGTGCAAAACCTCTGGCTACCAATCTGGCTTTGTGTCTGACTATCTTGCCATTTTGATCTGTCTTCGCTTTGAAGACCCATTTGCTTCCAAGCAGTTTCATTCCTGGAACTACTGGAACTAGCTCCCATGTTTTGTTCCTTTCTAAGGAATCAAGCTCAGCCTTCATGGCATTTAACCATGGCTCAGCTTCCTTTGAATCCAAACCCTGGATTTCTTGGAAACTTGAAGGTTCAAATACCTTCTTGGAGCTTTTAACAGCTGTTACTGCTATCTTAGCAAACTCATCAGCAAATCTCTGTGGAGGTTTGCCATTTGTGGCTCTCTGTGACCTACGAATTAGCCTTAAGTCTTCAACACTCTCCTCTTCCTTCTTAGGAGAAAAACGACCTATTGTGAACAATGGTTCCTCCAATTCTTGATCAGAGCTTTCAGAGGGTCGCATAGAG